CCCTTCACTCCATTTCAATCTTCTCCACTCCTGTTCTTTTTCTTTAAAGTATAAAATATGTACACTAAACCATCGTTTTCCACAAAAGAAATCTGAACTAATCTTTAAACTTGGCAAGGTTGGGTTCAGGCTCCAGGTTTGCCAGCATCAGAAAACAATTCGGGGTTAACTTTTTCTCCGATGCATGCACCGGAACTAAAAACAGGAAATGACAGACCTGGTTCTCTTTCTTCCTTTCAAATCAATATATTTAGATTATTTCCTTTGAGCTCTGCTGATTATAATTAGGAAATTTAGACGCTTGGCGCCTTTCTCGCTAATGTAATGATTATGATATAAAATATACTATAGTGTCCACACTATTTTCCTTACTACGTTTAAGTTAGTCAACCCTCACTTTATTTTCTTCGATAAACTTGGTGACAAATTTTGATCCATTTTATTGGATCGGAATGGCTTTTAAAAAAAAAATTTATAATAAGTTTATTGCTATTTAGGGAACTGGATTATCTATTCGGAGTTCCAATCTGTTATTCTTTTTAGGGAACTGGTATAGATGGTTCCTAAGGCCAGGAATTGGATTATTTATTTGGAGGTCCAATCTGTTATTTTTTAGGGAACTGGTATAGATGGTTACTACGGCCAGGAATTGGATTATTTATTCGGAGTTCCAATATGTTATTTTTTAGGGAACTGGTATAGATGGTTCCTACGGCCAGAAACTAGACTATCTATTCGGAGTTCCAATCTGTTATTCTTTAGGGAACTGGTATAGATGGTTCCTACGGCCAGGAACTAGATTATCTATTCGGAGTTCCAATCTGTAATACATGGAGACATCAGGAAATTATCAAATATCAATCAAATCAGAAATATTTCTCTGGGTTAACTTAAACTAAGAACTAAATCATTTAACTCCAATATTCCTGCACACTGCTAGGAATTGAGTTTCTGCAACTCAAATTTTCTGATTCTGATTCCTATCTCATATAAATCTGATGATGTAAACCTTAGATATTTAAACTCAGACCTTTCTCTTGAAATATCAAAGGTCAACGACATAGGGTTGCACAGATAAGGGATTATACTTTTGAGTTTGTGGCAAAAACTCATTTCCTTTATGCATCAGCTATTGACTTCCTTCATACTTTTAACTATACCCAGGCCTTTTCCCCAATGTACTTTTTTAGCCTTGCACATGAAGATCTTTTAGCAACATGGCGTTTGTTTCTGACATCGGTTTGCAAGGATTACAAATTTCAGTTTTTTGCAAAACATTATATTATAATCTTCTATAGCTGTAACTAGGTATGGGATAAATTTGTTATACTATAGAAAGATAATGAAAATTTTTGAAAATACAGCAGCTGCCTTATTTGTTGAAAAACACCTCAGCAAAATAAGTAAAATGTGCATTTGTTTATTTAAGACGAACAAATTTTTAGCCTTTGCTTTATACTTTATATTACTTTGAAATCGAAAATAAAAGATTCTGTTGGTCCAAAAAGAAGTTTTCAGTTCCTGTTACTTCTACTCTAATGCAGTAAAACATACATGTATCAGACCGTATAATTATTTTGCATCCAAACTTTAAAGGATTCTTTCATCTTGTATCCAGCTAATCTTAATGATCCTCAAAAATAGAAAATCCTATTATGAATCCTTTCATTTGCTTGATTCTTTCAAAGAATGGCTTTTTACATAAGAGTAGTAAACAAGAAAATAAAAATAAATAACTCTTGTAAAAGCATTTATTCTTCCCTAAGAAATAACTCTTGCATGAGTAATAATTCTTCCCATTGGCGATACCTCTTGTATGAGTAAGTGTTCCTCCCCTAGAAAAAACTCTTGTATGAGCAATTATATCTCCCCTAGCAATAACTCTTGTATGAGCAATTATATCTCCCCTAGCAATAACTCTTGTATGAACAATTATTCCTTCCCTAGCAATAACTCTTAGTCTTGTATGAGCAATTATTCCTCCCCTAGCAATAACTCTTGTATGAGCAATTATTTCTTCCCTAGCAATAACTCTTGTATGAGCAATTATTCCTCCTCTAGCAATAACTCTTGTATGAACAATTATTCCTTCCCATCAATAACTCTTGTATGAGCAATTATTTCTCCCCTAGCAATAACTCTTGTATGAGCAATTATTCCTCCTCCAGCAATAACTCTTGTATGAGCAATTATTTCTCCCCTAGCAATAACTCTTGTAGTAGCAATTATTCCTCCCCTAGCAATAACTCTTGTATGAGCAATTATTTCTCCCCTAGCANGAGGAGGGGGGGGGGAGGATCAATATGATTTGATGCTAAAACAGTTTGATTGATTGATTGATACTGGTTAGGAGTATAAATATACCCGAGGAGAAGCTATTCTATCAGCTGTGATGATCACGTACTTCAGCAACTTTGTTAAAACAGGGTGAGTCATTTTACAACTGAGATCCATTCAACACAAGGTATAATTTAAACAGTTCATTGCACATAAAAACAGCAATTGTGCAGTGTGCAGTGTACACTGCAAACCGCACTTGGAAACTTTTTAATATTTAAGATTAATAAGCTTGTTGAAAACTGAATATGAAAACAATAAAATCTTTACTTAAATCCTATCTTAATACTTTAAATGGAATTGCCAACAAATTACACTAGAGTTCAATTAAAGATGCATAACAAAGAGGTTCTTTTACACAAAGAAAATGGAGAAAATTCGTTAAAAAGGAATTGAGCCTTTGCCACAAACTCTGATTTTCTAATCCCTTTACTTTTGCATAACAATGTCGCAGACCTATAGGTATTTCAAACTATGAATTTTGTTAGATCAAAAATTTTAAATATCAAAGGTTTACACCATTAGATTTCAAAGATATATGGATCAGAAAATTTTAGTTTTGAGGCAAAGATTTTTATCTTATCTTTTATTCATCTTTAAAGTAGGGATTTTTTTAATAACTCAAATGAATAATTTCCCAGTAGAAATATTTCATGGCAACCTTTGATAGAAAAGTGTATATTAAAGTAGTGGTCCAATTCACATTTTTATTTAAACTTTAAGATTACCTAGCTTCGTAGGGATTAAACATTCAAACTATTAAACATATATCTAGATGAAAGTTCAAAATGCAGGAATGCAAGAATAAGAAGGATTCAAAACTTTATTACACTCAACTTTATTTCACAAAATATAAATATTTCTATTCTCTGTTATCCAGAACCTTGTAGGGTGTTTCGTGTCCCCTTTATCAAAAACTATTTTTTTTCGTTTAGATGTTAATCTTCAAGCTTAAAAAGTTAAAAATAATAAATATTGACATTTTCATTCGAGCAAATTGGTTCAATTTTGACAATCCTTTAAATTTTTTTGGGGTCATGTAGTTGCCTCAAAAAATTTGGGCCCAGGGAAGAAATAAAATGTTTGCCTAGAAAATTTCAAGCTAAATTTCAAAAATGTTTAAAGGCATGAACAGAATCAAATCTAGAAAAATTTGCAAAATACAACTTTTATTATTTGATGTTTTTTTTAGGAATCCTAATTCTCCAGCTACGGTTGAGGATCTAATTAAAACTAGAAATGATGCCAAGAGAAACAAAATGGTTGTTTGGGAACCTTTTGATTCACAGAGAAGATATCTTAATCTAGGTGAGAACTAACAGTAAATTAAATGTATATTATACTCACTTACAAGGGGGGGAATATTATACTCACTTACAGGGGGGGATATTATACTCACTTACAGGGGGGGGGGGATATTATAGTCACTTACGGGGGGGGGGATATTATACTCACTTACAGGGGGGGATATTATACTCACTTACAGGGGGGGGGGATATTATACTCACTTACAGAGGGGGATATTATACTCACTTACAGGGGGGGATATTATACTCACTTACAGGGGGGGGGGATATTATACTCACTTACAGGGGGGGATATTATACTCACTTACAGGGGGGGGGGATATTATACTCACTTAAAGAGGGGGATATTATACTCACTTACAGGGGGGGATATTATACTCACTTACAGGGGGGGGATATTATACTCACTTACAGGGGGGGGGGGGGTAGGGGATTCTATACCCTCTTTTCTCTTGTGGTCCTTATTTTACCATTTTGCAAATAATAAGAATGGAAATAACCGAGTTTTTTTTTTTAAAAATTTAAGTTTGGAATAGGCAGGCCTGGTAAATAAAGGTTATGTCAAGAATCTAGAGTTGTCTATATTAGGAATAAGGTTGATTTATACTCTGGAACTACGTTAGTATAATAGATAGAGTTGACTAATTAATTTTTAGGGTTGACTTAGAATAGGTTATGGGTAAATTAGGACTATATTAAGAATAGGGTTGACTTAGAATTATGTTTGAGTAAATTAGGAATAATTTTAATTTAGAATAAGTTAGGGGTAAAATATGACTGTATTAGGAATATGGTTGACTTAGAACTGTGTATTTGTAAATTAGCACTTTATTAGGCACAGGGTTGCAGACATAGAAATTTGGCGGGTTAAATTAGTACTCTGTTAGGAACAAATTAGGTCAGGGATAAGTTAAGGTTAGAATTCATACATCAGATATCATCAGATATCCTCATATTAAAGTTTGACAGTCAGTAAGATTTGTAGTGTAATATAATCCTAGTTCACCAAACACATAAAACTATTTTGAGCATTTTACTAAAAAGCTTTGAAACAAAATTGTTTTTGCGTTTGATTAAAAGATTTGCAACTACCAACTGCAGGTTAAAATTCAAAGTTGAATAGTCAAGAAGGGTTTTAATCGGTAAATTTGAACTGGCGGTAGACAATTCAGCGACTCCGCAAATTCATTAAATTCGATCCCTGAATAATCTCTAGGACGAAATTTATTTTCAGTTTTTTCTTTTGTGTACGTTTGCAAGCATTTATAAGCAAAGGAATTGAGTCTTTGTAACAAAATCAAATATTTAAACCCCAATATCTTTAGAACCCGATGTTGTAAACCTTTGATATTTCAAACTCTGATTATTTGATTTAACAGAATTCATAGTTTGAAATATCAAAGGTCTACAACATTTGGTTCCAAAGATATAGTGATTAGAAAATCAGAGTTTGTGACAAAGACTCATTTCCTTTGTTTTGCATATGGAATTACAACGATGCAATGAAATGTAACTCTGACAATTTAGTCTGCAAATAAACTTTATAAATCTGTATAAATCTAGTGGCAATTTATTCACTGCAAAAACAAAATGGTCTCTTATTTTCTACTTAATAACATTTTTTATTTATGCTAGATGTTCGTCCAGAAATGAAAGAAAACTTCAAGGTAATTATTTTCTTCTCATTTTCTCATTTAATCCATTAGTATTAGAAAAGTTGCAATAACAAGTTTGCCATAAGTAACACTTTCCATAAATTACACTGGCTATAACGGTTACGATGGTCATAATTACAATTTAATCATACTTATAATTAACATTCATAATTTTTTTTATTGAACAACTACAAATATATCTTTTGTGACTACAATTAACAAATCTTAATGAGGGCAGCTCATGAGCAGTATATAAGATTAAGCTACTGATATATTGGAAAAGTATTGTATTGCCATTTATTCTTTACCAAGCTCTTTCTACCAGTATTAGTGTTAATTTCTCTCCCAGCAGCATTGTTTGAAAGCTAGAATTTAACGGATTTAAAGAAAAGAAAGTTAGATTCATATCTTTGTAAAATTATGGCAAAAGTATTTATGTGAAGTTATGGCTAGTGTAATTATGGCAAATGTAGTTTTGGGAAAAGTATTATGGAAAATTTAATGTATTTTCAGCCGAACGAGATGGCTCTTTGGTTAAGATTGGTTCCACAGCTTGAACTGACCGGCACCTCAAGTAACCCAGGTATGGTACACACCTCCCCGGAAGCGATTTTGACCTCGTTGTTACGACCACCTCTAAAATTTATTTTATAAGTTAAATGAAACGCATGGGAATACAAATTTGTTTTTATCAAAATATTTCATCGGGCCCATTGGATTTTACGGCCAAAATACCATTGGATCTAAATTAAGAAAATTTTGAGGAAGCATACGAATTAGAAAAAAATCTTCTTGAATCTATTTTTGTTTATATTGTGTTTTTGAAACCCCATTTTACAGTTTTGAAGGAAAAGAAAAATAAAATTGATAAAAATTTATGCCTTGAGTTACCAATTAATGCTGGATTTTTTACTTCATAAAAGTCCAGGATATTTTAGCACGATACCAGCTTATGTGAATATCATGCAAATAACCCACTATACATTTCTGTTGGTTTCCATTTCACTGAATCAAAGAAATTGAGGAAAAAGATATTTTTTTCATCTACTCCTCATTAGATCAGAAATTCGAAATATTTAAATTTTTCCAATTCATACCAAACAATGTAGAAAAAATACAAGACAGAATTTTTTTTTTCCTGATTTTCTTTTCCAAAACTGAATCTACATAGAAATTACCAAAGAACTTATGTTGAGGACAACATAATAGTAAATATTTTTTTCTTATTTACTAGGAAATATCTAAAAAACTATATATGTAATGATTTTGTTTGCACAAGATATTGAAGTTTTATACATAAATATCTTTATAAATCTATCCGTCGCAATTTTTTCTTATATTTGAAACTCATATTTATCCATTGCAGCAAAGTTTTAGTTCGAGGGACGTTTTATTCAATGCCTTAGGGCTACATTTATTGTGGTGTTTTCTGCATTTATATATTNACTGTCAACTATGATGATTTATTAAAGATACAATTTTATATTATCGATGTCGAGATTTTCCCTTTGTTCTCGAATTTTAATTTAAAAAGTCAATCCACTAAAAATACCATCATTACACAAAAACGAACATTGAATGTTTACTATTTCAATATAACTTTATGTCAAGAATCGTTTCATATGCACCAAGAATTATTTAAAATTAAGTAGTTCCAACCACTTCACTGTTTCGTTTAAACTCAAAGTTTTGAACTTGCGCGCCATCGGTATTTTACGCCGCAATTCAGAATGGGACCGAGTTTGATTTCATCGTCTTCTCTAACTAGTTTTTCTTTCGGTTTCATACGCGTAAATATACTAATTAGAAAAATGGTCGTAACAACAAGGTCAAAATCGCTTCCGGGGAGGTGTGGGTAATATATGTCTTATTTATAACTTGGCTGTCTTCAATTGTGAACATTTTCTCTGTGGGTATGTACATTGTGAAATAATAACAAAACAAAAGTGCAGATTTTATAAAAAAAGTCGTGAATTTTTGTTGGGGGCTAATTTTTGAAATTTTGATTATCCATAAACCTTCCCTGGGGTCATGTGAGATCCCACACAAATTTTTGATCCGATGCGTTCAGCCGTTTTGACGTTTATTGGATTCAAACAAACAGACAGACAGACACCCAGACAGACACGCACAGTATATATATAGATATGATTTTAAAACAATTTATTGCTCGCTTCAAACTTTAATGTTAATTGTTCTATATTTTCTCTTCTATTTGATTTAGCATATGCACAGTTTTAGACAACAAAGATTTGCAACATTGGGTTGCAAAGACATTATGATTAGAAAATTAGAGATTGGGGCAATTATTCACAAATCATTCCTTTTGATAACAGTGTCCTGAACTAGAGTCCAGGTTCTATGAGTTAAAGAGTAAAGGTTCAGGCCCAAAAGAGGGTTGAGGGTAAACGATTCAAGAATTAATGGTCACATGCAGAGGACAAATAAGGGAATTTAATCATGTTTTTGTATTTAATTTACCAATCTTAAACTCGTCTTGTCTCGTTATACTTTTTCATTTAGAACGCATATGCCGACAAAAAGGCGAAACTATTATGTATAATATGTCAAATTGTGATAAGAACAAAACTGTTAATTCGCGCATGGTCAATGGTCAATGTCAAGGTTCCAGGTATTAAGTTTAAGGACTTAGGGTCTCAACTCTCAGGTCTATAGTTAATCGTCTAGGTGTGAAGGTTTTGGAGTCCGTGGTCAAAATTATTGTTTGTTTCAGGGCACAGTCAGCTGGTTGGAAGTACCTGGGGGACTGCTCGTAATTTAACTAGTTCGCCTGGAGTTCAACAGATGTCTCTGGGTGACGTATCGGCCTGTGAGGACGCAAAACAAGCTAGTAAATACAGGTTTACCATTAAAGCAAGCTAGTAAATACAGGTTTACGATTAAAGCAAGCTAGTAAATACAGGTTTACGATTAAAACAATCTAGTAAATACAGGTTTACGATTAAAACAAGCTAGTAAATACAGGTTTACGCTTAAAACAAGCTAGTAAATACAGGTTTACGATTAAAGCAAGCTAGTAAATACAGGTTTACGATTAAAACACAATTTAAACGAATTATTTGCGATTTTAAACTTATTTACCGTAACTATTGAAAATGAAAATTTAGTTAGAATTAGGCTAGTTAAGGATATTTTTCTATTAGTTTTGAAAGTTAAATTGAAAACATCTTGAAATCTTGAAATTGAAGACATTTTTACAGTATTCTTTTTCAGTAAAGTGTACACTGTCGGAATTGTGTTTGGAAGTATACTTGTTGCTGCTAACACAGTTATAATTGTTTGTGTTTATTACAAAAGACAAAATAACAGGTGAGGTTTTTAAACTTTAAAAGGATAACTGGGAATATATACTCTCGTCAGCAATTTATGGCAGCAATGTCTTTATATTTACGCCATGTCGGTTTATATTGATATCAAATCAATCAAATCAAATTATATATTTAGCCACAAACTATACATGTGAAAATGGATATTTATAATTAACATTAGTTGAAATTACAGTTTATGGCAGGGAGACGGAACTAGCCGAAACTGTTTTCAGTCGGTCGCCCGTACAATCAGTCTTTAATCAAAAAATTTAACTTGAAAAGTTTTACAAAAATTAGATTTAGAAAGGTTGGAGTTCCTGGCAGAGAAAGGTGAGGGTTCCTTTAAGAAGTCTGGTGGCTAAAAATTAGCATTTGAAATAAAAGATATGATTCCTGGNAATCGAGAAATGTTGCAACTGCAATTTTATTTTCATTGAGAGCAGCTGAAATATAATTAACAATATTTAGAATTGGTTGAAATGTAGATTTACCGGGTTGAAATCCAAACTGCATTCTGTATAATAGTTTATTATTTGCTAAGAAACTGTAAAGACGTTTAAAGACAATCTTTTCAATAATCTTTGACAAGACGGGGAGGCATGATATAGGCCTATAGTTAGTTAATTCCTCGGGATTTCCAGATTTAAAAACTGGACTAGTTCTTGATACTTTAAAACTCTCAGGGACCTGACCAAGATCGAAAGATAAGTTGAAAATGAATGAGAGAGGTACAGCAATTTCAGTTATTACGTTTTTTAAAAGTTTCGAGTTCAAACCATCAATATCAAGACTTGATTTACTTTTTAATGACTTGACAATTTCAATAATTTCAGAGGGGTCAACCTGTCCAAGCTCAAAATTAAATCCAGAATCAGTAAGATAATCTTCAGGTTTAGCGGTCGATTCAGGAATATCCTTTAATACATTCTCAGCGATTTCTGAGAAAAAAGAGTTAAATTCATTTGCTATGTTTTGCGCATCATCGATTGATTTACCATTTACAGAGACCTTGTCAATACTGGATTTAGACGAAGATCTATTTAAAATCTCATTTAAAGTTGCCCATAGCTTTTTGGGATCATTTTTGTTTGACTCAAGCTTACTTTCAAAATACATTTTCTTCGCAGATTTCAACACTTTATTGTAAAGGTTTCTATAATTTTTGTATTTACGCCATGTCAGCATTATATTGATATATGCGACATGTCAGCATTATATTGATATATACGCCATGTCAGCATTGTATTTATATATTCGCTATGACAGCATTATATTGATATATACGCCATGACAGCATTGTATTTATATATTCGCCATGTCAAAGCATTGTTATGATATATACGCCATGTCAGCATTATATTGATATATTCGCCATGTCAGCATTATATTAATATATATGCCATGTCTGCATTATATTGATATATTCGCCATGTCTGCATTGTATTTATATATTTGCCATGTCAGCATTATATTGATATATACGCCATGTCAGCATTGTATTTATATATTCCCCATGTCGAAGCATTGTTATGATATATACGCCATGTCAGCATTTTATTGATATATTCGCCATGTCAGCATTGTAATGATATATACACCATGTCAGCATTATAATGATATATCCGCCATGTCAGCATTATATTGATATATCCGCTATGTCAGCATTATATTGATATATCCGCCAGGTCAGCATTATATATATTGATATATACGCCATATCAGCATTATATTGATATATCCGCCAGGTCAGCATTATATTGATATATACGCCATGTCAGCATTATATTGATATATCCATCATGTCAGCATTATATTGATATATCCGCCAGGTCATAATTATATTGATATATACGCCATGTCAGCATTATATTGATATATACGCCATGTCAGCATTATATTGATATATCCGCCAGGTCAGTATTATATTGATATATCCGCCAGGTCAGTTTATATTGATAAATTCGCCATGTCAGTTTATATTGATATATTCGCCATGTCAGCATTGTAATGATATATACGCCATGTCAGTTTATATTGAAATATTCGCCATGTCAGTTTATATTGATATATTCGCCATGTCAGCATTGTAATGATATATACACCATGTCAGTTTATATTGATAAATCCGCCATGTCAGTTTATATTGATATATTCGCCATGTCAGCATTGTAATGATATACGCCATGTCTGCATTTTATTTATATATTCGCCATGTCAGCATTGGCTTTATATATTCACAATGTCAGCATTGTATTTATATATTTACCATGTCAGCATTATATTGATTTATACGCCATGTCTGCATTATATTTATATATTCGCCATGTCAGCATTGGCTTTATATAATCACACTGTCAGCATTGTATTAATATATCCGTCATGTCAGCATTGTATAAAATATATACATTAAATATATTTATACGCAACGTACGCATTATGTTGCTTTTTATAATAATTTTCCATTCCATTGCTGTATTCGATGAACCATCACAGTAAAAAAAATCTTTTAAAGTTAGTCCAATCTTTTTCATTAATTAATTAAGGAAACTATTCAAGTTTCATTCAAGCTTAGGCAACATTTTCAATATCAATATATATATTTTACATATTTGTCGTCTCTCTTATAAATTTTAATTTAAAATTCTTTCACCTGGAAAAAATGAGAAAAAGAAGAAAATTATAGTGTGAGGTTTGCTAATGAAGTTAATATAATGTAGTTACTGGTTACTATTGTTAGATCTGTAGATTTAATCTAATCCTTTAATTTAAACACCAGGCACTTGACAGCTACACAAACAGGAATTAGAAATTTAATAAAAAAAATCAATAATTTGAAATAGTTTTATCTATTTATTGGATGGTATTTTAGAAAGAATATTGTTGTATACATAGCTGATTGAGAATAAATATTGTAGTTGATGCTAATTTTTAAAAATGATGCTGCGGATTATTGCTAATTTAGTAAAAAAAACTGTTGTGTGTTGCTAATTTAGTAAATATACTGTGGGTTGTTGTTAATTTAAAATACTATGGGTTGTTGCTAATTTAGTAAAAATGCTGTTGTTTGTTGCTAATTTAGTAAAAAAAAAATACTGCTTTTTGTTGTTGATTGAGTAAAAATACTGTCGGATGCTGCTAATTTAGTCAAAATAATATGGGATGTTGCTAATTTAGAAAAAATACTATGGGTTGTTGCTAATTTAGTAAAAATGCTGTTGTTTGTTGCTAGTTTAGTAAAAAAAATACTGCTGTTTGCTGTTGATTGAGTAAAAATACTTTCGGATGTTGCTAATTTAGTCAAAATAATATGGGATGTTGCTAATTTAGTAAAAATACTGTAGGTATAACTAATTTAGTAAAAATATTGTACGTTGTTGCAGGAAAATACTGTAGGTTGTTGCTAATTAAGTAAAAATGCTGTTGTTTGTTGCTAATTTAGTAAAAAAAAACGGCCGGTTGTGCGTTGCTTATTTAGTAAAAATATTGTGGGATGTTGCTAATTAAGTAAAAATGCTGCGGATTTTTGCTAATTTAGTAAAAAGACTGACGTTTTTGCTTATTTAGTAAAAAGACTGATGTTTTTGCTTATTTAGTAAAAAGACTGTTGTTTGTTGCTAACTTGGTAAAAATACTGTTGTTTGTTGCTAACTTAGTAAAAAGACTGTTGTTTGTTGCTAATTTAGTAAAAATTTTGTAGCTTGTCGCTGCAAACATAAAATCTAATTTTATGTATGTTTAACGGCTCATCTTATCTCTTCTTCCTTGCTAATAGGACCAGCATAAGAGGCCTTGTACACTATACAGTGTTACCAGCAAATAAATGTAAATACGACCTGATACTTATATTATAAGAGTATTCCAAGGTTTAGTTAAGTATTCTGCCTTGAATATAGCCTTTTAATAAATTTTTCAATAATGTGGCAAAGAAAGAAACCAGTTTGCAACTGCACAAAATTGTGAATTTCCTTACAGTCGTATCTGAAGCTCATTCTTTGTGGGTAGCCCTGTACTTAGAAGGGGAAGGGGGGGGGGGGTAAATGGGAGGTGGGTTTACAAGTTTCACGATGTTTTAATTCTTCTTTTGAATTGATTTGTGCATTTTCAGACTGGATGTTTATGAAATGTTGTGCTTAAATTCTTAATTTAAAATTGATTAATGGTTCAGATTTTGCTGCATTGAATTAAACCTGAAATGAAATGAAACTAATTGATTTTAAATTACCAATTTGTTTGTTATAATTCAATATTCAGGGTTTGAATTTTTTATGTTTGATTATAATGGTCGTAAAGGGTAGTGCATAGTACATACAGTACATACAGTACATACAGTACATACAGTAATACTGTACACTATTTTTTAATTCTATTTTTATAGAAACAAAAATTTGTGTCTTATAGTGAGTAAGTTGTAGATACAGGGTGTCCCACGAAACATGACAATAGTATATATTTATCTAGAACTATATACTTATCTAGAACTATATATTTGTCTAGAACTATAGATTTATCTAGAACTATATATTTATCTAGAACTATATATTTATCTAGAACTATATATTTATCTAGAACTATATATTTATCTAGAACTATATATTTGTCTAGAAATATATATTCATCTAGAACTAGATGGGAACGAGAGGCTAGAGGCGTATCTACTGAATGTCTCAATAACTCGGTTTTAGAACCTCAGGTGGAAGAAAAATAAATTATAAATTAAAAACGTTGTAAAGAAAATGAAAACTTACTCTAATCTCTAATGTTGAAGTCCCATTATCTTTGCAACCTTTGGGAATGTAAACTTGTTATATTTCAAACTGTTTCGTTTAATTAGTCACAATATGAATTTTGAACTTTCGTTCCAAAAGTGTTCGAACTCAGAAGTTCGAACTCAGGTGTTCGAACTCAGGTGTTCGAACTCAGTGTTCAATTCAGGTAGTTTTAAAAAAATTAAACAATTAAAAACATCTCCGATGTATTGGGTAAAAGGACTAAAAAAACATAAATAAAATATTGAGAAATTGTTGAATATTCAAGTTGAATTAATCTGATGCAATTTAAGAAAATTTAATTAAAGATCTATATTTGATATGATTTTTTTTATGAAGGCTGTTCCTAGTTTCTCTACACCAGGCAGGACTGCAACTTTACGCAGACAAACACATCAACAGCCAGACAGACAAAACGTTCCTCTTGTCACATTTGACGATCAGAGCGTTCCAAATTATAAATTAAAAACTACAGACAGTTCCTCCTATAAGGTGTGCTCTAGTGTTCCTTTACTTACAGACATACCCGCCCCCAGACAGTTTGTGGATAAGGTTAGAGGAGAAACATCTTACAGAGAAGAGGATACCATTACGTGTTGATCTTATACCTGGAGATATAGTCAGGATTTGATTCTATACCTGAAGATATAGTCAGGATTTGATTCTATAACTGGAGATATAGTCATGAATTAATTCTATACCTAGAGGTATAGTCAGGATTTGATTCTATACCTGCAGATATAGTCAGGATTTGATTCTATACCTGAAGATATAGTCAGGATTTGATTCTATACCTTGAGATATAGTCAGGATTTGGTTCTATACCTTTAGATATAGTCAGGAGATAATTCCATAATTCCATAAACAATTAGACACAATATTTCTATTGACTTCAGTCTGTTGGAGACGGTCAGATGTTTAATTTTTCACAAATTGATTTTTCACTAGGATACAGGTTTGTTTTGATTGTATACCTTAATGCAGTCACGTGTTGATTCTATTATATGTGAATAAACCACGTGTTGATTTTATAACTGAATACAATCAGGTGTTGATTTTATAACTGGATACAATCACGTGTTGATTATATACCTGAATACAATCACCTGTTGATTTTATAACTGGATACAATCAACCACGTGTTGATTTTATAACTGAATACAATCAGGTGTTGATTTTATAACTGGATACAATCACGTGTTGATTATATACCTGAATACAATCACCTGTTGATTTTATAACTGGATACAAAATCACGTGTTGATTATATACCTGAATACAAACACGTTTTGATTATATAACTGGATACAATCTCGTGTTGATTTAATAATTGGATACAATCTCGTGTTGATTATATACCTGTAATCAAACACGTGTTGATTTTATAACTGAATACAATCACGTGTTGATTATTTACCCGGATACAATCACGTGTTGACTTATATCTGGCTACGATCCCGTGATGATTAAATGCCTGGATTAAATCATGTGTTGATTATATACCTGGATACAATCAGTGATGATCAAATACCAGGATAAAATCACGTGTTGAATTATATACCTGGATACAATCAGTGATGATCAAATACCAGGATACAATCACGTGTTGATTATTTTACCAAATGTTGATTATTAATTAAGGTTTCATCATTCATGCTGTACCTGGTTACAAATTCATTGATATTTTTTACTTGGATATATTAACTGAATCTACCATCTACTTTTGTATTTACTGTATGCTTTATCCGGGATATTATAGAGGATAGAAAAAGGAATTTTTTTGAAAGACATTTCTTTTAAACATAATTTAGATTTTCTGGAAAATCAAGATTCTAACCAAATAGTAATTATTCCATGGATAATTTTTTCTAATTTAAATTTAGATTGGTAAACAGGTGAGACAAGAAATTTTATAATTTTTAATATATAAAATATGATAACCTTCAGTCGTTCAAGCCTTTCCTCAATTTCCTCAATAAACTACTCACATTTGAATGCATAAATTTTAAGTAGTCGGCCCTTTAAATTAATACAATGATGACGACTTCTGTTAAAAAATTGATGTTTATGTGTTTCTGCTGAATGAAAGTTTCACGAAATCAAAACTATTCTATAAAGTCTTCGTTACTGTATTGACATATACGACGACCATTGTACAGAAATTTTACCAATCACTTCTTGAAAACTAAATATAGAAACCAGTTACATCATTTTATCTTGAAAAAAAGCGTGTTCATCCAGACCAAGGGCAAAACAATATAAATTTTCCTAGCTTGAATGTGAAACTTGGATTAAAGGGAGTGTTCGCGAAAAATTAAAGGGGGTATAGGCTTAACGCGATAAAAAAGCGCTTTTGATCGCTACTAGTCTTACTTTTTCTGTTGCGTCTATAAGGAGAAAATTGTTAAAAACGACGAATACCGAAGAACGTAGTGTCCATACAAATTTAGAAAGATGCAACATTCAACTCGGATCGTAAACAAATCAATTTAATTCCAAACAAATCATTCAGATATTACAAACAATAGTCATCGATTATTTTTCGACGCATTCGTAAATGGTTGATATTTTATAATATTTTGTATTTTTCATGTTCTGAGAGTTACTTTTGAAAACATTCATTCCTGTTTCGAAGATTTTTGATAATAAAGACGACATTTTCATATGTTCCAGGAATGTTCGAAAATCCAGAGCCAGCGAAAATTATTTGTTTAAAAAATCAAAAATATTATGAAATATTAACTTTATACGAATGCGTCGAAAAACTATCGATGGTGTGAGTCGTTTTTAACAATTTTCTCCTTATAGACGCAACAGATAGAAGTAAGATTAGTTGCGATCAAAAGTGCATTTTTATCGCATTAAGCCTTTACCCCCTTTCATTTTTCGCGAACACTCCCTTTAAATGAAATATTCCGGGCCCGTGATGTGAGGTGCGCTTAAAGGTTATTATGTTTTTTCCTTTCTGTGCAACCCGTTTTATAATAAAACATCATGAAATATCTTTTTGATAAGAAGTTTTAATTTATTAAACAGTTTATTACAATATCATGTATTGTTTAGTGTATCAAAATGTATAAATAAAATTGTTAAATACACACAATGGTAAAAATAAAACGAAAAATTTAGATTTTTTACCGTGAATATGCATAAAATAAATTGTAAAAGTAAAGTAAAGTTGTTGAATGCATGATGAGACTATGTTTATGGGTGCTTTTATTTAAATGTGTAAAAATCATTTTTCAAATACGCAACAAAATAACGTTTTTGTGAACAATATTGTATAATAATCTATTAGTCAATGACGATTATTATTTGGTAAGTTAATTGGTTTGGTAGCTTAACTTCACTAAGATAACTTGTAATTATTATTACAATTATTTTATCGATATAAATACTAATTGCTTGTCTGTTTGTCTGTAACCAAGAAATATCAAAACGTCTGAACCGATCGGGCCCAAATTTTGTGTGCAACCTCACTTGACTCTAGGGAAGGTTTATGGAACAGAAAATTGGAAGAAATAATTACGGAAAATATTTGAAATTTTTTTGAAAACACTCCAATTCGAAAAGAATTATCCGCCAAAATTTGAAAATTATTTTAAATGGCCGCCTTTCAGAGCAACAACATAAGCTAAAATTAATTACAGTATGATAAATATGACAGTACAAGACAATATATGACTTAGCTGTGATCTATGAACATTGAGACAGCAAAACAATAAAAATTGTTCTAAAAAATACTCTAGTCTCAACACTGTTGGTAATTCATTTTAAACAAACAAACCTTTTCAACTTTAATATGTATTTAACATAACAGATAATATTTCTTTTCAAAATGAAATTTTCAAAACAAATTTTATCTGAAATTTTAGCAAAAGTTAAAAATGTTGTATTCATTTTATAATAAGGTTACTCTGATTACAATTTCAATCTGTTGTGCGATGTGGTTCAGATTTTTGCCCAGAGTTATCAATAAATTGTTCTGACAACCCTAAGATACCAGTCGCGAATCGTGATTTTGTCACTCAACTAAAAAAAATATAAAAGACGGAAGACCAGGTTAACCGAAATTGGTTTAATCTAATATTCTTATGTTTAACGAAATTTTGTGTTCGCAATGTGTATTTGATATTTCAAAAATTAAAGCAAATAGTTTTACAAGCTTGGCATACACATCAACTTATTAATTGAAATGGGTCTCCACTGTGATTCATTCTCATCATCTCTTAAGCCTGTTAATTTCACAGGTTTCAGGTCTCACTGTATGTACAACTAACCAAGGACCAATTATGTGCTGCCTATGTGAAAACCGGAAGCCAGTGAGAAAATATTCTAATAGGTGAAAAGGTTTAAAGATGAAAGAAAACAAATAAAAGAAAGGTTTCTCAGTCCTGCAATAGGTTTGATAGAACTCTTCTAACTTAAATAAAAGAGAATTAAACAAAATGAAACAAGTTAAACTTTTCAGCTTTCTGTTTAACTTTTTCATCCCTTCATACCTTTCCCACAGATATTATATATATATATATATATATCCAAGCATTTGATATCAGAAATATTATTCAAAGTTAAATCTTAATAACTTTTGCAAAGATTAGATTACGATTACATCAAGAGTGTGATAGTATATACTGGGTTTACATTTTCATTTATAACATCAATATTTTGTACAAGAATTGTTTTATTAAGATGTGTATTGCGTACTGATCTAAAACTGTGGTTATTAAGTGGGAATCAGAAAACAATGGAATATGAAGACGACGTTATACCAATACTTAAGTGTATAATTGCAGCTGTTACAAAGCGAATAGTTTTACAATTTAAATTTAAAATTTAAAATGCACACTTGCTGTGTCTCATGCTCATTAGCCATTAAAATTATAACTTAATTCTAAAATATATTTTGATTAGTATGTTTTTGTATGATCGCTTCTTTAAACATTTTTATTAAGGAATTTTTATTGTTAACCTCATCGTTTGAACTAATTCAGAAACTTAATCTAAATCTAAATGAAAAATAAAAGTTTAGGAAAGAGCAGGCGTTAAAAAGACGAAAACTTGAAAGATTTGTTTATAGTTTAAACCATTGTTTTGAGAGTTCCTTCAAGTTCAGAGAGAGAAGAGAGAGGGAACTTTGTATTTAATTATAAACCTAGAGAAGATTGTCAACAGTTTTGGACCCCGGGGTATACAGGGTTTCCAAATATCTAGAGTAACCGGGTATCCGAGGTATCCATGGGTATCCTAATATCTAGATATAGTGTATCCAGGGTTTCCTAAAATCAATAGTGTATCCAGATTCCAGGGTATCCGAGATATTCAGGATTTCCTAGTATCTAGTATATCCAGGTTTACTTATCTGGGGTATCTAGAATAACCGGGGTATCCAGGGTTTCCTAGTATCTAGTATATCCAGGTTTACTTATCTGGTGTACCCAGAATAACCGGGGTATCCAGGGTTTCCTAGTATCTAGTATATCAAGGTTTACTTATCTGGGGTACCCAGAATAACCGGGGTATCCAGGGTTTCCTAATATCTAGTGTATCCTGGGTTTCCTAATGTCTAGTGAATCTAGGGTATCCGGGGTTTCCTAATATCTAGTGTATCCAGTGTATCCGGGGTTTCCTAATATCTAGTGTATCCAGGGTTTTCTAATATCTAGTGTTTCCAGTGTATCCGGGGTTTCATAATATGTAGTGTATCCAGGGTTTTCTAATATCTAGTGTATCAGGGTATCCGGGGTTTCCCGGGTTTCCTAATATATAGTGTATCCAGGGTATACAGGGGTACACAGGTATCTACAGTATCCAGGGTATCCGGGTATCTAGGGGTACAGACTGAACAAGTATGTAGAGTATCAAGCTTGATCATCCAAAGTTTCCAGGATACCAGAGTATCCAGGATACCAGAGTATCCAGGATACAAGAGTATCCAGGATACCAGAGCATCCAGGATACTAGAGTATCTAGGATACCAGAGTATCCAGAACACCAGAGCATCCTGGATACCAGAGTATCTAGGATACCAGAGTATCCAGGATACCAGAGCATCCAGGATACCAGGTCTACATATTCAGGATACCAGAGCATCCAGGATACCAGAGTATCCAGGATACCAGAGTATCCAGGATGCCAAAGCATCCAGAATACCAGAGCATCCAGGATACCAGAGAATCAAGGATACCAGAGTATCCAGAATACCAGAGCATCCAGGATAGCAGAGCATCCAGGATACCAGAGTATCTAGGATACCAGAGTATCCAGAATACCAGAGTATACAGGATACCAGAGCATCCAGAATACCAGAGTATCCAGGATACCAGAGCATCCAGGATACCAGAGTATCTAGGATACCAGAGTTTCCAGAATACCAGAGTATCCAGGATACCAGAGTATGTAGGATACCAGAGTATCCAGGATAACAGAGTATCCAGGATACCAGAGCATCCAGGATACCAGAGTATCTAGGATACCAGAGTATCTAGGACATCAAAGCATTCAGGATACCAGGTCTACATATTCAGGATACCAGAGCATCCAGGATACCAGAGTATCTAGGATACCAGAGCATTCAGGATACCAGGCCTACATATTCAGGATACCAGAGCATCCAGGATACCTTAGCATCCAGGATACCAGAGCATCCATGATATCAGAGTATCTAGGATACCAGAGCATTCAGCATACCAGGTCTACATATCCAGGATACCTTAGCATCCAGGATATGTGTCTCTAGAGTAGTCGGGAGTCTGCATCTGCGAGGTCAGAGTCAGGACGGGTTATAAAGAATCTTCAGGTTCAGAGAAGAATACGGATTGTTTCTCCAGGTCGGGATTCAGCTGAGGAGGGTGAACCTGAGCAGAGAAGAGTTCGGAATGTGTCTCTCGGTCAATGAATTAATTTGAATTGATTAATTTTTATCTGCAATTTGGTATTTATCTACGGATTGAAGAGGAGCGAGTTCTCCAGCTTCCTAATGCGAGTTGCGGTGGAGTTCCTCTTGATCATCACCATGAGATCCGTTTAGTGTTATATATTCTCTCTTTTACTTGATATTGTTCTCATTTCTACATTGAAAAAATAATAAGCAAAGTTTAAAATAGGCATTTGACCCCAGTCGTTAAGTCAAGGAAAGGATTCTTAGTCTCTTGAGTGTATATCTATACTCAGACTCCTAAAAGGTGTTTTGAATTCCAATGTCCTTACATACTATAGCGAAATGGTTCCAGGCGGGGGAATGTTGATTTGAAAGTTTTAATCTTTATTACGCAAACTGTATGATTTCTCCATCCTTGATATCTATAATGCATCCTCAAATATGGATTAGATATTATTTACTTTTTATTTTTATCTATTTTAATCTATATAAAAATTGTTAATATAGAAGTATATTTTATTTAATTGTTCACTAAAGACTAAACATGATCAAATATAAATAAAATATTTATATACTTCAGCAATCATTCATACAGATAAAATATCTAAATGGTTGCTTAAAACATCCTTGCAAGATTATTTAAAGAAAACATTAACTATTGTAGAACTTGATGCATAATATTGTAGTTTAGATAAAATTTCTACATTTACATTGTACTGTAAATATGTACAACCTAAAAATTTAAACTAATGCTGTGTTTATTCTCGCAGGAATAATAAAGAAAATCAATGTTTAAATGTCGTCGTCATATATTTCTGATATTCTCTCGGCCTAGTGTTCGTTCTGTCTGGATGATGTGTCTCAAGAGAAGAAGAATTTCTTAGAGAGAAAGTTTTAAATAATATTTGTAAAACAGTCCTGTCCAAGGTTTTGGTTATGTGATAATTCTTCAACAGTTTGTAAACATCCTGAGATAGAATTTAAAGAATTTGAGCCGCGGCTCAAATATGGTTGATTCCACTTAAAATTGTATTATTTTTTTCAAGATTTAAGCCGACGCTCAGTTAAAACCTGTGTTAGGCCGCGGCTCAAATTCATTAAATTCGGACACTATATTATCATACAAATACAGCCAAAATATAAGTAAGTATTTCATTAGAGGTGAATATGGATATAGCTAGATATAGCTAGTATGTATTATTGACTGTATTTGGATATGGATATAACTGGTATGTATATAGCTGTATTTGGATATGGATATAACTGGTATGTATTATTGGTTGTATATGGATATAAATATGGATATAAATATGGATATATCTAGATATATCTTCCTTCAATAAATTGGCGGAACATGGGTATGGATTTAGCTAGCATGTAATATTGGCAGTTAATGGATAAAGATATAGCTAACATGTTTATGGATATGGATATGGATATAACTGTTGTATTATTGGCTTTATATGGATATGAATATGGATGGCTGGTTTCATATTTGAGAAACAATTCGCTATGTCTGACTTTTATTTGAACAAAAACTTTGAGAATTCAAAACATTTGTCAATGCAGATTCTAAGCCCAAGAAACTACAAAACACTTTTATCTTCTACACATAATTCTGAGTTTGCAATTCATTTAAGGGAAAATATTTAATGCATATATTAAACAGAGTTGGCTGATAAACAAAGGAATTGAGTCTTTTCCACAAAATATGATTTTCTAATCCCTCTTTGATACCTTCTGGTGCGTACTAGAGTAATCTGCAGTATACTGACTGAAGAAATATGGTTTAGTGAAGTTTTAATTTAGTGACTTTCATTTTATTTTGAGCCAAAGAAAAAACAATTAATTTTTTGATATCTTGCGATTTTTAAAATTAATTTTTTGACTAGGCGGAATATTTTTTGATCAGTGTTTCAAAGGTTTAAATCATAGTGAAAGGAAAAATGTGCAAATTTCTTTTGACAGATGGGGGGGGGGGAATAATTTGAACTGGAAATTGAAAACATCTGGCTGCATTGGATAACATGCATAAGTATAAGATACTTTAAAGGTATAAATGTAAACTAGGTACAATGTACATGGACTGTACAGTGTACATTGAACAGTCCAATTACCCTGCATATACTATACTTTATCTTTCATTCAAACAAAACTAGCAGAAAAAAGCATTATTTCTAAAAAATCGACATTTTATTACAATTATATGTTAGTAATAGTTAGTATTTAAACTAGAGATAGTATAAGACATTTTTGAAAACAAAAATCTCAACTTAAATTTGAATTCTATGAGATGAAAAAAAGGACAAAGATCCGGAAAATAAGTATGACTTGTAAAAATTTCTGTTTTGAAAAAAAGTAGGAGTACAATTGTATTCTAAATAATAAAGCTCTTCGTTCATTTATATGTTTGCTTTGGCTGGCTAAACGGCTGAATCAAATGGGCTGAATTTTAGTGAGGAAACTCGTAAATACCCTTGGGGATGACATAAGCTAACTAAATTATAAGTTTTTTAAAATTCTATTTTTAAAATTCCACGGGCAACGCCTGGTATTTCAGCTAGTTAGTAATAAAAAAGATTACGAAACAGCGGTGCAATGAATGAATTAAGTAATTAAATCCAAAATAAAAAAAATAAAAAAATGGTCTTTTACTACCTCCAAACTCAAACCTTCGTGGCTTGGCATTTAAACAAAATTGTTTCACTTCGCTATCCCTGATAGCGCCTATCCCGATTAGGATGAACGTACATTCTAAATATATTTTTCACTCGGACTTCGTTCCACGTATTTAATCTTCTTTGTGCACTAAATGAACAGCAAACTAATTTTTTTATGTTCTTCACTCTTGAGTTTAAGATTTAAAAGTTGTGAAAGCTCTGATTGCCCCCCCCCCTTTACAGGTTTAGGGGGCGCACTCCCCCCTGGCCCCCCCTGTATACGCCCTTGTCAATAAGGTGGTCGGTTGTGTACATCTGAGGTAAGCTTTACCTCTTCGTTTCCTTTCTATGGTTTAAACAAAGTTAGAGGAGATACGAGGTCACAATGTCGAACCAATAACGTTCTATGAAGTTGACCCTTCTCCTTCTGTACAGTTTGTAGTCAAACAAAAGAGAAGCTGTTAATAAATTAGGATTCTTTTTCAGGATATTGATTCGGGTAATAATGTTAAATACACTAAAATATGAAGACATTTTTCTGTAATTCTTTTTTTGAGGAAGGGGGGTATTTTTCCCTAAAATCTTATATAATCCCTGGTGCACGGAATATGAAGTACGCATGAAGTACGCATGAGGTACGCAAGAAGACGCATGAAGTACGCAAGAAGTACGCATGAAGTACGCAAGAAGTACCCATCTTATAAAGTTAGATACGAACTGCAGTATATTTTTAGGGTTATATATACCATTAACAATTTACAACAATAAGTAAGCCTTTAACTGTCAGTACCTTTTTGCATGCATTTTGTGAATGAAAAACCAATATAGGTAAAAAACATCCTCCTAATTTTTAGCAAACTTTTTAGACATTATTTTAAGAACTTTTATAAAAAATGAAATGAAAAATCTAAATCGTAAATGATGAATAAAGAAATATCAAAAACTTTGTTCATACGTTGAAAGAAATTATTAAATTACATATTATACAAACAAATATAAATGTAGCTTGGAAACTCGGGCGAAATAATGAGGAACAATGTTTTCCCTCATTTAGCAATAGATTACAATTAGAATATTAGAGAAAAATCTGTAGCAATAAGCAAGTGGTCTTTTGAAGATAAAATGCATTAATGAGTTTAGAAATGAGTTACCCGACCAAAAATTGAACCTAAATGTAAAGTTTTTTAAATTGTCGGAAAATGTCAAAAAAAAAAATCTGTTGAAATCTGGTATTAACTATTCTAATAAAATCTAATCTGGTATCAACTATTCTAATAAAATCTAATATGCATCAGAGAATTTCCCTTATCTTAAACTATTTGCTACTGGCACTAATATGAAACAATGATTAAGTTTGTATCATTTTATATATCAAGGAAATTTTTCATCGATAATTTTAATGTCCACACAAATCACTTTAGAAATTAATCAATTATTATATAATTGTTTAGAGACACACTGGATAATGTAAATACACAATATATATTTGCAGCAAGGTTTTAGAAAGGTTAGATACACTGAATGCGCTCCAATGTACGTAGAAATGTCGTCTTTATAGCTATGGCAACGTTTACGATGCCGGGGGGGGGGGGGTTTTCCGCTTGACATGGCTGTAAAAATCCTACACTCTTCTGATCAACAAAGTTGTGACTTCTTCCCGCCAATAAGCAGTTGCGTCATATTATGCCACGTAGGGTTGTTAATCGTTTTTGAAAACGATCGTTAAACGATCGTTTTTTGTTTAGTTTTTCAATCGTTTTCAAAAACGATCATTTCGTTTTTGGGAAAATACGATCGTTTTTAAAAACGACCCACTCGTTTTGAACTTTTAAAAAACGAATAACGATCGTTTTTGAAAACGATCGTTTTTTTAAAGATTTGGGACCTTTTTTTATACGATTGTTTTTTAAAACGAATGCTTTTGAAAAAATATCGTTTAAAAAATTTTTATTGACAATTATGTTAACGATCGTTAACGAAACGAAGAACTTTATAAAAACGGTAATTTTTGGAAAATCGATCGCTTTTGAAAAAAATTACATTCATACTTTATTGAATGTCGCCTTACATGAATTTAAAAGGTTGTGGGGTAGCTAATACTTCTTGATATTTTCTTAAAAACTACTCAATGATAAGTACAGATGCCCTTCAGGTCGGTTTCCTCTCTTCGTTAACGATCGTTAACGAAACGACGATTTTTATACAAACGATCGTTTTTAAAAACGATCGTTTTAAAACGACCATTTTTAAAAAACGAACTTAAAAAAACGATCGTTTTCTTGACGAAACGATCTTTTTTCATAAAAATGAAAACGTTAACATCCCTAATTATGTGTCCATTTGCTATGAGGAGGACATTTCCAGTACATTGAAGCGCGTCCCGAGTATCTGTACATTGTTGTTTATAAACCTTGATCGGCAGACAGATGTGTATGATTGCTCAATGCCAACAAAGTATAAACTTTAATCTGAACCTTATCCTGCAGGTTATGGCAAGGATCCTGGTAGATTCGTAGCAGGTTCTTTTATTGCAGAAGGTTGAGATGGTTTAGTTTCTTTCTTGGATTTGGTTGAGGATTGAAGAGGAACAGTTCCTACAGTGATCGGCAAATCCAAATTCAAAGGGATTGCAAAAACTATAAATATTTAGGTTATTAATTAAATTTGACTGAGCCGTTAAATTTGATTTTAACCTGCTGATGGAGTCACAGTAAGAGTTAGGCTATACTGCCGCTTTATAATCTTACATGAACCCCCGAAGTTAGACGGAGGCAAATCTGACACTTTTATCAAAACCTTGTTCCAGGAATCAGAACCTCCAGGGCATATGGGTTCTCCCTTCAGTTCATAAATATTGTCAAAGCCAATCTTCTGGTGACGTCCATCTATATAGATTATTGTCTTCTTCAGCACTATAGTTGTGTAAAGCATTTCCTTAGAATATATATTAAATCATAATTATAGTTTTGTCGGATATTTCCTTTAAAATTTTTTAACTTTAAGGGACTGTAAAAGAAAAATGAAAGTAGATGCTGAAAGCTAAATCACTTTAGCTCTTGATCGCGACCCATGAAAGTTATATCGGATGTTCCTGACTCGAGAAATTGATATAAAGCTGTGTCAAAGGAATTGAGTCTTTGCCACAAACTCTGATTTTCTAATCACTATATCTTTGGAACCAAATGTTGCAGACCTTAGATATTTCAAACTATGAATCCTGTTAGATCAAATAATCTGAGTTTGAAAAATCAAAGGTTTACAACTTTGAGTTCTAAAGATATTGAGGTTTAAATATTTGATTTTGTTCCAAAGACTCAATTCCTTTATACGAAAATTCATATATGTAAAATTTAGAAAATCTGAAACTTAAATCACGTGACCAGAATTATCACCAATGGCAGAGCAGTATTCTGGTCACGTGTCTCCGCCTGTATCAAGTGACCACTTTACTGCACTGCCATTGGTGGTATTTCTGGTCAAGTAATACGGACTTATAAATAATATTATGAATTAAATCTATTCAAAAAAGAAATAAGAAATATTAAGATAGAATGGGAGTAAACCTAACTTACAATTAGCTTTCTCTGGGATATCATCGTTTTCAGATTGATTGCTTATTTTCTGAATTTGATCTATCTAAACCCACTACTTTTATACAAAATTGTATATATATTAATTTTCGTATAAATTTGACAAAGTTGTATTTAAATTTCTCGAAATAGGAACATCAGATATAATTTTCATGGGTCGCAATCAAGAGCTAAAGTGATTAGCTTTCAGCATATACCCCCTTTCATTTTTCCTTTACAGTCCCTTTAAATCTATTATGAGCAGAATAACTAAGAAGAATAAAGATTGACAGTCCTGATTCTAGTTACAAGACAGATATTGAGTCTCAGCCTAGCACCAACACATATTCTTTGGATATTTCAACCTATGGATTCTGTGAGATCAAATCATCTAAGTTTGAAAGATCACAGGTTAAATCATCGGGTTGCTAAGCTGTAGGGATTAGAAAATTCAAGTTTGTGGCAAAGACTCGATTCCTAATTGTCCAAAATACTGAAATAAATAAAGTGAATAAACTGTAGGTTAAACATTAACCTTGTTTGATATATTGTCCACCTCTGCAGAGAATATTATGGATTCACCAGGTACATAACCCTTTCTATAGGCAGAGGATATAAAGATCAACATATCAAAATTATATTCATAAATCAACATTATATTTTCAGTTATGAGCCAGACAGTAACATTTTTGCCGAATGTTTAAAAGCATATTTTTAGTTAAAAAAAAATAAAGTTTGAAATATCTCAGATTTAAATTATCAGGTTGCAAAGATATAAGGAAGGATTAACATATTTTAGCTTGTGGCTAAGATTTTATTACTTTGTAACGTTTTTTCCCGGGGACTTTTTTCATTTTTTTACAGCCTTAGGTTTGTATTTTTTTTATGGTGGTTTCAGCAGGATCTCCAAACTTTTCTTCCGATTTCTTTTTTTCCAAAATTTTATTAAATTAATTCAAACATAAAGTAAAAAACCCAGACTTAAACAGATATGCAAAGTAATTTTACATTAAACCTTAATTCTTTTCTTTTATCAAAAAGAAAAAATTATGACTGAATTAAAAGCAAAGATTGCATGTGTGAAACATTTAAAATCTATTTTAAAAATATGTGGACTTCATAAACACTGCCTATCTGTTGTTATAAAGGCAGAGAGAGGACCAGACTTGCACCACAGACAACAAAACATCTTAGAATCCCTAAAATATGCCATCTTTTTTCCTACTCCTGATCATACTTCTGTTTACATCCCTATCCTTGCTCCTGTTCATATCCTGTTCCACTTCTGTTTAATTCCTTATCCTTGTTCCTGTTCATATCCTGTTCCAATTCTGTTTATTTCCTTACTGCTGTTCCTGTTCACATCCTGTTCCACTTCTGTTAATTTCCTTATCCTTGTTCATATTTGCATCCTGTTCCGCTTCTGTTCATTTCAATACTGTTGTTCCTGTTCACATCCTGTTCCTATTCCTGTCTATTTCCCTATCCTTCTTCCTGTTCACATCCTGTTCCACTTCTGTTCATTTCCATAGTATTGTTCCTGTTCATATCCTGTTCCTATTCTTGTTAATTTTCCTATCCTTGTTCCTGTTTACATCCTGTTCCCCTTCTGTTTATTTCCTTATCCTTGTTCCTGTTTATATCCTGTTCCACTTCTGTTCATTTTCTAATCCTTGTTCCTGTTCATATTCTGTTCCACTCCTGTTCATTTCCCTAGTATTGTTTCTGTTCATATCTTGTTCCTATTCCTGTTTATTTTCCTATACTTGTTCCTGTTCATATTCTGTTCCACTTCTGTTCATTTCCTTACTCTTGTTCCTGTTCATATCCTGTTCCTATTTATGTTTATTTTCCTATCCTTGTTCCTGTTTACATCCTGTTCCACTTCTGTTCATTTCCATAGTATTGTTCCTGTTCATTTCCTCATCCTCATTCCTGTTCATATCCTGTTCCACTTCTGTTCATTTCCATTACTCTTGTTCTTGTTCATATTCTGTTCCACTTCTGTTTATTTCCTTATCCTTTTTCCTGTTCATATCCTGTTCCTTTTTATGTTTATTTCCCTATCCTTGATCCTGTTCATATCCTGCTCCACTTCTGTTTATTTCCTTATCCTTGTTCCTGTTCATATCCTGCTCCACTTCTGTTTATTTCCTTATCCTTGTTCCAGTTTATATCCTGCTCCACTTCTGTTTATTTCCTTATCCTTGTTCCAGTTTCTATCCTGTTTTACTTCTGTTATTAATAGCTATTTACAGTTTAAAAATTAATATCAACTCTTGGTATTTCTAAAGGAATTTAGTTTTTGCCACAAACTCTAATTTTTTAATCCCTATATCTTTGCAACCCCGATGTTGTAGACGATGAATTTTAATAGATCAAAAAGTGTAAGTTTAAAATATAAAATATTAATATCATCAGGTTTCAAAGATTAAGGGATTAGACCATTCAAGTTTATAGCAAAAATTGTCTAAAATGTTCTTTAAAATATCGACCTTGCTTCTCCAGGAAGTTTACAGTCCAGCACCTTGTTTAGGTCTAATCTGGCATTCACCGTGAAGCCTTCTCGGACGCTAGAAAATATATATTTATTTTATTGAAATTTAAGAAAATTTTTTGAAAATGAACTGAGTACGAATTTACTAAATTTGAGCCGCGACTCAAATCTGCCAAAAACAGGTTTTAATTGAGCGCCGGCTTAAATCTTGAAAAAGTTAAATACATTTTTAGATGAAACCAACCATATTTTAGCCGCGTCTCAAATTTAAGCCGCGGCTTAAGTTCTTTAAATTCGGCCTCGGGGAAGTTCATTTGACAAACGAAAATAAGTAAGAAACTCTTAGTTAAAAACTAACGGAAACTGCTGTTAGTTTTAATTCTTTACACGTCCTAATCAAAAAAAATTAATTTTTAACAAATTTTGTGAGAAAAACAAATTTCTGTAAAATGAGATTTCCTAATAAGTTCAGGATGATTTTAAGTGACACATTTTTTTAGTCTTTCTTACACTTGGCAGTTTTTTGTTTATTGAATTTAATTTATAATATCTATATATTTAAATTTGGCTTGTCTGTCTGTTTGTTTGTATCCAATAAACGTCAAAACGGCTGAACCGATCGGGCCCAAATTTTTTGTGGGAATCACGTGAAAATTTTGTAAAAAAATTTAAATTCTTGAAAATCCGCGATTTTTTTTTTTAAATCCGCAAAATTTTTTTCTTCTTTGTATTAAAACGTAAACAAAAGAACATGTTGACAATTTAAATAAAAGATGGGCGCGAAGCGCCCTAAAAGCCTTGTATGTATTTATATATATTTATAATTTCGTGATTTCTCAAATGTGAAGTTTTTTACGATTATTGGATACAGCATTCAAAGTATAAATATAAATATACACCTTGGGTCTCTTCTCCAGCTCCTCACTATTACAGCCTCAAAAATAAAATAATTTTTGGAAACAATCTAAGTTTATAAGTGCGTCAAAACTCACAATATTATGGTTTTTTAAAGGGAGTGTTTGCGAAAAATGAAAGGGGTTACAGGTTGACGTCGAATAGAATTCGATAACGATCGCTACTAATTTTACTTTTAAAATCAGGACTGAAACTTGAACTTCTCCAATTCCCTCGGTCAAAGATTTAAATTTTTTACATTTTGAACTCAGGTTGACCCCCTATTTAGCATAAAATCAATTTTATCTCTAAGTACAATCTTCATGTCATGGCCCATTTAACAATCTTACATTCTATTCTGCTTTAGTGCACTAATTCCAAAATAATTTTTTGCTTTCATTTTATGCTTTTACAAAATTTAAACAGAGATGGAATTTAAAGAATTCTGCCACAGCAGTTCTATTAGAAAATAAATTAATTATAATTTTGATGTCTATTGGGATTTGTTTAAAATGGTTAATTACTACCTCAGCATAGTATAGAATGCTTCCATTTGATCCCTCAAATGATGAAGGAAGGTCAGTAGGTAAGGGAAAGGTAAAAGGTAAGTCATGTAATCCAATTCCTAAAACGTAAATTATATTTGAGTGGAAAAGTCCATTCATGATTATGTTCTTTAGTAAACGTAACAAAGTAAAAGCTTGATGTGCAAAAAGTGCCAGTCTTATGGTTCTAAAATATTTTTAAAATTTGAAGATTACATCTGGATATTTAAATATTAACACTAAAATTTTATTAGCATAAATCTGTCCATGGAACAATATATTTACTTAATTCTGGTTCATGGAACAATATATTTACCTAACTCTGGTTCATGGAACAATATATTTACCTAACTCTTAAAAATACATTTATCTAACTGTGGTCCATGGAACAATATATTTACCTAACTCTGGTCCATGGAACAATATATTTACCTTATTCTGGTTCATGGAACAATATATTTACCTAACTCTGTCCATGGAACAATACATTTATCAAACTCTGGTCCATGGAACAATATATTTACCTAACTCTGGTCCATGAAACAATATATTTACCTAACTCTGGTCCATGGAACAATATATTTACCTAGCTCTGGTCCATGGAACAATATATTTACCTAGCTCTGGTCCATGGAACAATATATTTACCTAACTCTGGTCCATGGAACAATTTATTTATCTAACGCTGGTCCATGGAACAATATATTTACCTAACTCTGGTCCCTGGAACAATATATTTACCTTATTCTGGTCCATGGAACAATATATTTACCTAACTCTGGTCCGTTGAACACAGTGATTTCCTCTTTAAGTAAGGTTTCTTCATCCCTAAAAAAGGAACCCTTATACTTTACACTGTTTTATGAGTACACACACAATCTTGTTTATTCCTTAAGCATGATAATTTTAATTGTAAAAATATTAATGGTTTTGTTTGTTTGTAAAGTTTTTCGAAGGAACCAATGGGTACCCTGGGGGTAACATAGGATAACCAAATTCTAAAATTTGTATTTTCCAAAAATAAAATTTTTTCAAAAATCGGAATCTTTTTTTATTCCATGTGCAATGTCGGGCCCCTTCAGATAGTTTAAACTAAATTTGTTGAGCCAAATGAGAAAAAATTTGCGATTATATCTAGACTTAAATTTTTTGAAAAATTAGTAAATTTCATTAAACACTTAAATAATCTATGAAATAAAATAAATTTATACGAAACATAAAATTATTTACTTTCTCCTTTGCTTCTCTTTTCCAGTTCCCTCGACCCAGGATACGCTAGCATTCCCATGGAACGCTATAGTCACACGTGACATTGTCTAAAAACAAAACGTGTTTCTTCCACTCAGGGAATTAGATTGGGAGATTTACCTTTTAGACATTTTACCGGGAATATGAAAAGTGTTAAAAAAAACACTTCACACTTCTTTCTCTCAGATGATTGATACATGATCATAATGCAATTGATATACCTAGGAGTAGGACGTTAGGACTTGTCGAATATGGAGAACCTTGCTCTGAATAAATGCTCTTTGTCTCTTTGGGATGGAACTGATTAGCCAACGCGGGAGTTCCTTTTCCCACCTTACAGCAGCTTCAGGGTTCAGTTGAAAGAGAGATTTTTACATTTTCTTCCTTGCAACGTTCTTTTTATATTTTGTCCTAATTACTCTGAGTTATAGGCCAGACAATGTTAAACTTCATGGACATTGATTAAAACTATTGCTGACAGCATGAGAGGCTGGCAGTGGGAGCTGTTTATACAAGTTGGTCCTACTAGCATAAAGGAACTGGTTCTGCATTGATTAAAACTATTGCTGACAGCATGAGAGGCTGGCAGTGGGAGCTGTTTATACAAGTTGGTCCTACTAACATAAAGGAACTGGTTCTGCATTTGCCTTGAAATGGTGGGTTACAGCAATTGTTTACTTGAAGAGGAACTTCTAGGGGACTGTCTTGATCCAAGGAAGAAGTGTCAGTTTTACAGGTGACCCATACCATTTCTAAGAACAGAGGCTTAATAGATTACTTCATCAGGGTAGAAGCACTTGGCTAAGATAATCTGTCTAAATTGTTTCACATTTCTTGCATTTTTGATGTTTTCAGGTAGTGCATTCCACTGCTGAACTATTCTATTGGAGAAAAAGTACTTTCTTAAATCTAAATTGGGTCTGGAAGTTACTTTACAAAGGGACTGTTCACTTTTTCTGGTTTACACAAAATATAAATATAGATTTAAGAACGACTTCTTAAAACACAATATAAAATCTACTACGGGAAAACACAATATAAAATCTGCTACGGGAAAAAACCAAATTAATTCGGAATATTTCAAATTCACCCTGCTTAATAACTATCCATACTTCCAAGATACGTTATAAAATATTACTGTTTACACAATTGTTATTTGTTGTTGTTATACATGATTATGATTTATGACATAATAAAACTTCAAATATTGAGCTATCACAGCACAGAATTCCACAAGTTCTTTTGAGCCATTAACTGTTGCAGCTATGAAACACATTTTCGCATTTTTGCGAATATTCGCATTTTTGCAAAATAAAAGTTTTTGCGAAGTTTTCAGGAAAAAAAACGAAATTTTGTGAAAAAATTTGACCAGTGCGAACGTAACTTTTCGCATTTTTTCGCGAAACGTTTTGTGCCCTTGTCACGGGAAGTACGTATAGTAGGAGGTTTATAATACTATAGGTTCATCCAGGGATATAATGATCTTCCCCTCCACCCCCTGCCCCGGGATATAAAGTAGGAGGTTTATAATACCATAGGTTCATCCAGAGATATAATGATCTTCCCCTCCACCCCCTGCCCCGGGATATAAAGTAGGAGGTTTATATTACCATAGGTTCATCCAGGGATATAATGATCTTTCCCTCCAAAACTTCCCCTTGGAAGGTGTTTGATGGGTTCAAAAATTCTATCTCAAATTCGAAATCCGACATTTTACTTTCATTTGTGATCTGAAAACTGTGCTCATGGTATTTTCTTTTCATGGAATTATTAATTGGGTAACATATAGATATGAATACTTTATGACGTCACACCAAATAAACAGTGCAGAATATGTCCTAGGAAAATAGAAAGGTATTAAGATAAATAGGGCATATGCACATCATATCGGTATTTCCTCAACGGTAACTGCCAAAAAATACTCTGAAAATTCTCTCTTTTTTTTGAAAATAAAGTCCTGGCATTTTTTTTCAGAACTTTTTTATTGGTTTCAGTTTGCAAAGCATGGTTACATCTATGAAACTTTTGACTTTATATTAAAAAGACCCCTGGCTATATTAAATATGCAGATGCAAAAGTCCTTTTTATGAAAACGTACAAGACTTGACCTCAATTTCCCATTTTCCTCCTTTCTTGGTTTTTTTTCTTTCTTCAAATATATTTTATTCAGGACTTTACTATATGTGATCTTTTTTCCTTAGACTTTATTGGCAGAAGTCCCAGGACTTAGTGACATTTTGTCCTATGATTTTGTCCTATGATTTTGTCCTATGATTTTGTCCTATGATTTTAAAAAATTGGGACTTTTTTACTGAAGATTTTATTTCCAGATTTTTTTCCTTATTCAACACTTCTCACCGGATAATGTGCCCCTTCTATCCCCCCCCCCCCCCGTCAGAAAAAAGGGGGGGCACCTGCCCCTATGCCCCCCTTAGCTACGGGCCTTAATATTTGTATAGATTTGATTTAAGAGATTAAAAAAAAAATGGAGAATATGAAGAAACTAAATAAAATAATATTTCATAGCAAAAATATTCATATCCACAAAACTGCTTAATCTCATTCGTGAAACCCGGGTTCCAACACTAGTTTTCATAACGATACCCTTGTAACTTAAGTCTTAAGTTTTGTGCTCTGGCCTATCAAATGTTGTTTGGTTGTTTCTCTAAAGCATATGAAAGGCTGAACAGTTTGTTCTATGATATTGTATATTGTATTTAAGGAATCAAAAATATAAAATATAGGTTAACAATAGAAAATTCATAGAATTAATTTTTAACTGTTTCTATATTCTATATACTATATATTTTGTACTGAAATGTGTTGTGATTGTAAAAGCATTAAGTGTTTGACTAAATAAGGCGTAGAAGATATATGTATGTATATTTAATCAGGTTTGTATGTATCTATGGTAGTCTAAACCTTGATATTTTTTATAGTAATTATATAGAAAGCCTTCGATATTTGCAGTACACTGTTTTCTGAAGACTAAAGGGGTCCTTTGTACTCCTATGTACTACTATAAACATTTCTTTTGTTTTCATTCTTTTAGTATTTTTTTGAAACATTTTCTGAAGTAAGAAAAACCAGTTTTATTTATAGAATATATTGATTAAATCCCATTATATCTCCGAGTGATAGTTTTCTAATTCTCCAAATCATCTATTGATGATATAGCCTAAACTATCACTTCGTTAACTGAGCATATCAACATTCATATGATAGCACGTTAAAATAAAGTAAATTTAACGAAAGGTGAAATATTATTTTCAATCAAAAACATTTTTTTTTAAATTCAAAACAGCTCTGCTAAGGTTTAATCGTAAAAGATACACAATAAAGGTATCATATTCAAATACTTCTAAGGTTTAATCACATTAAAAATTTTAAATTACATATTCAAAAACACAAATAAGTTTTAATCAAGTAAAACTCTGAACATCTATAGACAGGTTTAATCACATTAAAAATTTAAAATTAGATATTCAAAACACAGAGTAAAATGAAGTATAAGTCTAAACATCTAGTAGGGTTTAATAACATTATAAGTAGGATATTGAGGAACAAATTTAAAATCTCCCCTTGTATGTTCATCATCATCATCAGCCTTTACATTCACCTAGAATATATACCTTACAAAAACTATCTTCAAAGAAAACAAATGCTGAGAAGGACAACCTCAAATGCCCCCCCCCCCCCCGGGGAAGGTTTCATACTTAAATTTTCATAAACCAACATCTTAGCAACCTGCAAACCTGTGTTATAAACTTAATTTATTTGGTCGACCGCAGAAATTATATTTTGAAATATCTAAGGTCTCTGACATTGAGTTAGAAATATAAGGATTAAAAATTCAGAGATTAGGGGACAGGCTCAATTATTTTATGATTGGAGCGCTTGAAGGCTAAACCCTTTTCTCCGGATACTTCGATATTGCTGGGAATGGAAAACTGTCTCCGATTTAAGAAGTAAAATCAGATAAAGGTTAAAAACCTCATTTCAAAAGTTTTGTGTCCTGGCTATCAAGTTCAGTCGCTGAAGTGAATCGATAAACGATGCATAAGTTTTGTTCTCTATTTAGATTGATATTAGAAGAAGAATCTAATTTAAGTATTTATTGAATAGAGTTATCTCAGCTAAAAGTAATTGCTCCGAGGGAAAACATTGTGCTGGAAATCCGTCTAAGCCTAGAATTCCGAGGATAATAAGTTTGGAAAATTCGATAATACCAATAAATAAATTCTGTATTCTGACTTTATGGATCCTAAGTTTAAAGGGGAGAAATTACAGAGAAAAAGCAATTTAGAAAAAATAAAGATAGAAATCAAAGGTAAATCAGCAATTTTTGATAGTATAAATACTTTACCTCTCCCCATACACTTGATGCATAGGATGGAGGGGGAAGGTTGGAGTATGCAGAGAAACTTGTGGGCAGAGGAGGAGCAGAGGCGCCGGGCGGGTAGGCGCCAGGGGGAGCAGAGGCGCTGGGGGGATATGCAGAAGGGTTATAGCCAACAGGGGGATATGGTGGAGGAGCATTAATGTCTTAACAAAATCATTCCTTATCTATTAACCCTAAACAGGCTGCGGGAGAGGGCGTTTGGCGCCCCCCCCCTCTTGTTTTTTGCCCTAGTACTCTCATATTTGACACTATTACTGTGAAATTTTTTAACTTTTAATGAATAGAAATTTAAAGGATTTTTTGTAATTTTTTTTATGTACAGGGCGGTAAAAAGTCCAGTCTGTGTAAAAAAAAAATCTAAAATAGCCCATCACTTTTTTATGACTAAAGCTGCAGATCTAAAATCTATATTTTTTAAAAGCCTTTGAAAAATGGATGTGGAAACATCTGTCACACTTTGATATTTGTTTTAAACAAAAAAAATATTTTTTACATTTTTTTGACCTTTTTTGTCATTTTTTTCAACCCTCCCTAGCACCCAAACCATAACAGTTATCGAACTTTTATTTTTCTTTAATGAGCTGGCATTGAAAAATTGGGCTATGAACATGCGTTTCAACCCTACCTATTCTCAAAGGACGCCCCACCCAGACTATACATAGATTCAGACCCTTCGGCCCTTAAAGGGTTCAGACAAAAATTGAATTATCGTTAAAACACCAAAACCACCCCGCTTATCATTGAATTACACTTTGACCCCTAGAAGTATGAGTTCATGAGTTCACGGACTGTACAATTCTTGGTGATTTTGCGTACATAAGCTATCTATGTTTATTTATTTATCTATGATTTTTACCTGATCCTGGAGCATAGAACCTTATTGCTCCTGGTTGATTCTGAGTAGGGTCTGAATTATATATCGCGGGAGGCGGAGGAGGTGCAGTACCTATCCCGGAGTTATAGGAGAATTGGTTCATATATTCTTGAAGAGGAATGGTTCCAATAGTAATAGGCAAACTCACAGTAAGAGCGAATCCTACGCCTTAAAATATTATGTTTATTTTGCGAATTCAGATGGTGTTAAACATTGTGTTTATTTTTCTAAATTAGCTGCTGTTAAACATTGTGTTTATTTTTCTAATTTAGTTGCTGTTAAACATTGTGTTTATTTTTCTAATTTAGCTGCTGTTAAACATTGTGTTTATTTTTCTAAGTCAGCTGCTCTTAAACATTGTGTTTATTTTTCTAATTCAGATGTTGTTAAACATTGTGTTTATTTTTCTAATTCAGCTGCTGTTAAACATTGCGTTTATTTTTCTAATTCAGCTGCTGTTAAACATTGTGTTTATTTTTCTAACACAGCTGCTGTTAAACCTTGTGTTTATTTTTCTAATTCAGCTGCTGTTAAACATTGTGTTAGTTTTTCTAATTCAGCTGTTGTTAAACATTGTGTTTATTTTTCTAATTTAGCTGCTGTTAAACATTGTGTTTATTTTTCTAATTCAGCTGCTGTTAAACATTGTGTTTATTTTTCTAATTCAGCTGCTGTTAGATTTTGCGTTTATTTTTCTTATTCAGCTGCTGTTAGATTTTGTGTTTATTTTTCTATTTCAGCTGATATTAAATATTGGTTTAACCTGAGGGATGCACAACAAGTTGTAGAATATACTGAAGCTGTATAATATTACATGAACCACCAAGATTAGACGGAGGTAATCCTGGAACATACATTGCAACCTTGTTCCACAGGTCGGAATCTCCAGGACCAATTCGACCTCGCTGCTGCTCTGCTATAATCCTTGAAGTTGATCTTGTGTGTCCACCAGCTTTAAAGGTTACTTTCTCCACCAGCTGTACAGTTGAGTTCGTCATTTCCTGAACATTTTCTTGATTCAACAAACTATACATATATAGGGATAGTTTTATGCACATCGTAAAACTAATAAACTTCGCTCATATTCAGTTTGCATTTGGATTTCTAAAAATTTCAATTTGACATTTTTCTAGGGAGATATTTGAATTTCGTTGGTGTGGCATTAATACTACTTAGTTTTAGCAATTTTGCAATTTTTGTACTTTTAATGTTTCATTTCCTTGTACTTTAGAGATAAATATATATCTATTTATTTTTATTATCATTTCTACAATAAAATCAAAAATAATAATATGGATTTAAAACGAACCTTGCTTGATTGATTATCCACCTCTGCTGTGAATATTATGGATTCTCCAGGTACATACCCGCTTCTAAATACAGTACATAGTGTACATGAAGATCGGCAGTTTAGATTTTATTTATAAACCTGTTTATCAGATAGAAACACACTTTAACATAACATTCAAAAGTATCAATTTTATTTGTAATAAATTTGTATTAAGCCTTTTTCACTGAAACTGTATTAAAAGCTTTTTATATTTATTTATCCAAAAAAACATCGACAATGTAATCTTGAGTAACCCATCATTTAAAGGGACAGACCGGCTATGGCAGGTAGTTGAACTGAGTATGCAGTGTTGTGGACAACTGGGTATGCCAGATTCCCATCAATACCAAATTGAAGACTTATAATATCTGATCAATAATATATAAGATAAGTTTTGTCTATTAGTTTGAAAAGAATTTAATTCTAATAATTTTTAGACTGTTTTCCAGCAGCAGAAATGCGCAAGTGACGCAAAAGAACCCCTGTTCATAAACATTAATATCTAATTTATTCCTGACCAGAAGATGCTTTTCAGGACATGTGACCCTATGAATGAAAGTTTACTTGAGATTACGCCAACAGACCCTGTAAACAGATGAAAAATTAGCCTCGCCTCGGAAATGAGAAATATTCAAAAATATTTTAAGTAAAAAGCATAAAACCTGCCTGTCTGTCATAATTAAAGCGCAGAGAGGACCTGACCGGCAGCAAAGACAACAAAATGTTTTAGAATCCCTGAAATATTTTAATCTGAAGTACACGGAGAGGGCTGAGTTACATTTCATATAGTTACACTTCATATATTTACACTTCCAATAATTCTATTTTATTTTAAGTTTTATTTGAAAGGAGAGGGGCGCCGCGGTTAGTACAGGGTAATCCAGAAGAAACACTTTTTTAACGATTATGGTTAAATCTAAAAATTCTAAATTAAAATAGCTGATATAACTCCTCGATTTACAAACATGTGTAATGTAAATTATTGGAACTGTAATTATAGGAAGTGTAATTATAGGAAGTGAAACTTTATTGGAAATGTAACCTTATAGGAAATTTAACTTATATAAAGTGTAATTTATAGGAAATGTAATTTAATGAAATGTAACTTATAGGAAATGATGAAACTTAATTTTAGGAAGTGTAATTATAGGAAGTTTACTTAATCTTTCTGTTCTTTTTCTAATTATGTTTATTGTAAACTTATCTCTTGTGATTTGGATTTTGTTTAATAAATACAATTCTAAAATCCGAGAAATATCGAATATTTTACAATTAAACGCACCAAAATCTTGTGTTTATTTCTGAATGTAAAATAATAACTCTGGCAATAAATATCAGCCTGAATGATTTTTCAAATTCTTTATGATAAAATAATTGATTTTGCTTTGTTCAGGCTTTTCTCTTTTGTTAGATCGACGCTTTGTATTAAAAAAAAAACTTGAATTGCGTGGAGCAGATTTTTGTCGAAATTAAGAACGAAAAGGGATCAACATTGAGCCAATTAAAGACGAAAAAGGATCAACATTGAGCCAATTAAAGACGCAAAGGGGTCAACATTGAGCCAATTAAAGATGAAAAGGGATCAAGATTGAGCCAATTAAAGACAAAAAAAGATCAACACTGAGCCAATTAAAGACGCAAAGGGGTCAACATTGAGCCAATTAAAGACGAAAAGGGATCAGCATTGAGCCAATTAAAGACGATAAAGGGTTGAAAACGATTCCCAAAAATAATTCATTTATCCCTTTTATCACATCCTTTCTTGTGATACTGTTTCAGGCAATTCTAGGTTTTGAATGCAACAATTGGCCAAAATACAATAAATACAAATTTGATATTGAATTGTAATTTTTCATTTTATGAAATCCTAGGAGAGTATACAGGAATTAGCAGGGGGAGCTAGAATTCCGTTGGAGTGGAGGCCTAATTACCTCCTGAAAATCATAGTTTTCACTTCTCCTGGTAAGAGTCTTAGCACCCATACCCCCTGTACAGTTTTCGCCTCAAAGTTTCTTTTCTTTAATATTTTTTCTCCGATGAGATAATTATTTTAGAATAGCATTGATGCGCAGAAATCTACCGAAACTCGTTTAAACTTTATCATTCAAAACTTCCTTCATCCCAACCTAAACTTCAACCCTTAGTCTCAACTTTACAGAAGAGCAAAACTATAAATTGCCGCGTTTTAGTTTTATAACATAATATATCGGCATTTTTACTCCTTCTAGTTTTGTTTCCATATCTATCGGAAGTTTTCTTTCAGCCTTGAATTACAAATATTATTACCTTGATTCTCCAGGGTGATTACACCCCTGATACATATTTAGGTCTACTATACTATTCAAAGTGAAGTGCTTTTTAACCCTGAAACATAAATATATGTGAAGATATTAAATTGATTATCACAGATTAAATACATGATTTTAACCCTATACAGACTGGGGGTTTGAATCTATGTATAGCCTGGGGGGGGGAGTAAAAGGGGGTGCTAGGCCCTCCCCTCAGCCTGTTTAGGCTTAAGTGACCCTCTAATTCAAATAATGGTATCTCCTATTGACAATGGTACCCTGTTATCCTTTCTTCGTCTGAGCAAAAATAACGAAGATATATTTGTTTATCTGTAGAAAACTATTATTATTTCTAACTGCAGTTTCTCAATGAAAATAACTTGTGGACTCACTGCAGAAAAGACTAAACAAGACATTGTCAAAGTTAAACAAGATACCAGATAGAAAATTAAACAAATTACCAGATAGAGAATTAAACAAATTACCAGATAGAAAATTAAACAAATTACCAGTTAGAAAAATTGAACAAATTACCAGATAGAAAATTAAACAAATTACCAGATAGAAAATTCAACAAATTACAAGATAGAAAATTGAACAAATTACCAGATAGAGAATTAAACAAATTACCAGATAGAAAATTAAACAAATTACCAGATAAAAAAATTAAACAAATTACCAGATAGAAAATTAAACAAATTACCAGATAGAAAATTAAACAAGATACCAGATAGAAAGTTAAACAAATTACCAGATAGAAAATTAAACAAGATACCAGATAGAAAATGAAACAAATTACAAGATAGAAAATTAAATAAATAACAAGATGGAAAATTAAACAAATTACAAGATAGAAAATTAAACAAATTACAAGATAGAAAATTAAACAAATTACCAGATAGAAAATTAAACAAATTACAAGATAGAAAATTAAACAAATTACAAGATAGAAAATTAAATAAATTACAAGATAGAAAATTAAACAAATTACAAGATAGAAAATTAAACAAGATACCAGATAGAAAATTAAACAAATTACCAGATAGAAAAACAAACAAATTACAAGATAGAAAATTAAACAAATTAAAAGATAGAAAATTAAACAAGATACCAGATAGAAAATTAAACAAATTACCAGATAAAAAAACAAACAAATTACAAGATAGAAAATCAAACAAATTACCAGATAGAAAATTAAACAAGATACCAGATAGAAAATTAAACAAATTACAAGATAGAAAATTAAACAAGATACCAGATAGAAAATTAAACAAATTACAAGATAGAAAATCAAATAAATTACAAGATAGAAAATTAAACAAATTACAAGATAGATAATTAAACAAATTACAAGATAGATAATTTGATCTACTTCGAAATTAATCAGTAACAGTTTAAAGGGTATCATTGTGAGTCAGGCATGCCACTATTTTATTTTTATTTTTAAATTGATGATTATGAAATAATCTAAAAGCTAAAAATTAAAGAATCTCCAAATAAAAATGGAAAGAAGCAATGAACTTCTAAAATACAGCATTGTTTAAACATTAAATAACATTTTTAAGTCTTTGTAGTTTAATGAAATTTTATTTTAAAATGTGAAGACTAAAATTAATTAAATGAAACTGAATTGCCAAAATATCGATTAGCCCACTGTCATTTAAAAGATATAAAGAATGCTGACCACATTTTGGAAAGCTCATTAGACTCCTCTGATTCCATCAAGGTAATTTGTAAATTTTTAATCAAAATGTTCATTAATTACTACCTTTATCATTAATTTTGAAAATAAAAATGTATTTACAACCTATGGTTCCATTTCCAGCTTCTCACTACAACACCCTTCAAAATTATTTTATATTTAAAGCTGCTGAGCCTAGAAATATTTATTTTTTTGAATAACTTGTTTTGTCTTCAGGGCTCAATTTAATTACTGGCAAAAGAAAAGACAGAAATTAGATTTTCATAAAAAAAATCCATTCATGGTTCTGAGATATTTTAAATTTTAGTGAAGAACAAGAAACAGATAATATTCGTATCTTAAAGAAAAACTAGATTATTCAGTGTCTAAGACAATGATTATAATATTCTCATATTTATCGTATTTTCTTGTAATACTACGACCATTTAATAGTGAAATACTAAATACCTGAACATAATATCTGATGCTTCCATGCTGTCCTTCAAATGATGAAGGAAGGTTAGTAGGAAGGAATAGGTTGAACGGAAACACATGAAATCCAGCACCTAAAACATAAACACATGAAATCCAATACCTAGAACGTAAACACGGACTTACCCAACTCTGGTCCATTGAAGAGAATGGTATCCATCGCAAGATAACTCTCATGAGACCTTGAGATAAAACAAAGTAAAACAACTTTCTTGTAAAATATTTCTTGCCACCTAATGAATACTATATGAATTCTACAACTACAGAATTATTTCCTTTAATTTAACAGTCTTCGTAAGAAAAAAAAACATACTGTTGATCTCTCACAATTCAACTTCTAGAAAAGGAAAAATCAACCTAATTTAAAGGATTCTAAGTAAAAATATGACTTTGCGTGTGCGATCTTTTTGAGCGCTTCCTCCACCCCATATTTTTTTCACATAATTATCATTGGTTAAAGAAATATCGATTTATTTCTCAACAAACTTTGATAGAACCTATAAAACTATAAGAAATATCAATTCAATTATTAAAATCAGTGAAAGAATATATAAAAAGCTTTAAGGTTTTTATTTCATATTTGGGCATAACAATCGAAAATGCAAAGAAAGATTTCAATCAAGATAAAACATAAAAATCATTTAGATACATATTGCATATATAATAATAAAACTTCTCTACAGTAAGAAAATAGCTGACGTGGAAACTTAAAATACAATTTTTTCACAACGTATAATAAAAAGTAAAACAAAGTACAATGTAATCTAAACAAACTTTTCTTTTTCCTATATCTTTGCAACCTGCAACCTTGACATTTCAAACATTACAATGATGTTGATAAAATCATCATTTTTCTAGCTTAACATTTTTTAATGCTCTCATCTTTTTATCTTCTTAATTCTCTTATCTTCAAAGTCACTTTTTATATTTTAGAACTCACATTCGAAAATAACCATCCCTTAAAGAGAGAAATCATGGATTCTCATTCATTCTTTAACAGACAAGATCTTAAGGGAACCTGGTGTTATTAATCGGGTAGGCAACTCAATATTATGGAGGGTCACTTGAAATAAAACTGACAGTCTCTTTAAGGGAAATTGGTGTTATTAATCGGATAGGCAACTCAATATTATGGAGGGTCACTTGAAATAAAACTTACAGTCCCTTTAAGGTAAATTGGTGTTATTAATCGGATAGGCAACTCAATATTATGGAGGGTCACTTGAAACAAAACTTACAGTCTCTTTAAGGTAGCGGAAACTTTTAGAAGTTTGGTAAGATTTCTGTGTGTACTGCAGTAATCTGCTGTTCATTGACTGAAGATATAGTAACTTTTAATAGACAGTTTACCTTCTATGAATTGTTTCTGTTTCTGATTTACCATCCCTAGTTACTGTTTTACTTTCAGTCCAGTGAACACGTCCATCCCCTCTCAACTCTATCTTTAGACTGGACATTGTCTAAACACAAATATTATGATTAGTGTCTTATTATTTCCATTTTTGCAGGAGGAGGTTAATTATGATATCCTCCCCTCCAACCCTGCCCTGGGATATAAAGTAGGAGGTATATAATACATTAGGTTTATCCAGGGATATAATTACCCTCCCCTCCAACCCTGCCCCGGGATATAATGTAGGAAGTATGTATATAATACCTTAGGTTTATCCAGGCTCCCCTCCAACCCTGCCCTGGGATATAAAGTAGGAGGTATATAATACATTAGGTTTATCCAGGGATATAATTACCCTCCCCTCCAACCCTGCCCCGGGATATAATGTAGGAAGTATGTATATAATACCTTAGGTTTATCCAGGGATATAATTATCCTCCCCTCCATTACCTGCTCCGGGATATAATGTAGGAAGTATATATAATACCTGAGGTTTATCCAGGGATATAATAATCCTCCCCTCCATTACCTGCTCCGGGATATAAAGTAGGAAGTATATATATAATACCTTAGGTTTATCCAGGAATATAATTATCCTCCCCTCCATTACCTGTCCCGGGATATAAAGTAGGAGGTATATAATACCTTAGGTTTATCCAGGGATATAATAATCCTTCCCTCTATATTTTGCCCCGGGAAGTATGTATGCAGAGGATTGAGCAATTCTATTTTAAAGTCCAGCATTCTGAAAATTGAGTAATCTGAAAATATTATTTTATGTAATCTTGAAATTCTTTTTAATCTATTTTTTTCAGCTCTCTTAACTCTCTTTTTGTAACTTAAAGGGGCTGAAAAGGAAAAATTAAAGGGGGTATAGACTGAAACCTAAGCATTTTAGGAGTTGATCGAGACCCAAAAGAGTTCTATCTGATGTTCCCGTCTCAATAAATTGATAAAAAACCGTGTCAAATTTACATGAAAATCTATATATTTATAAAATTTTGTATAAAGATAGTAGGTTTAAACAGACCAAATTCAGAAAATACACAACCAATCTGAAAACAACGACATGGCAGAGGAGCCTAAGAAACTAAGATTTGCTCCTATTATTATTTGAATTTAACAATTTTTCATTTGTAAAAGATATAATTGATAATATTATTAATGCATCTGCATCATGTGACCAAAACTCCCACCAATGGCAGTGCATTATCCGTAGGTTTCAGCCTTGTACCCCCTTTCATTTTTCCTTTACAGTCCCTTTAAAGTGACCTTTTATTCTGAGTGGAACGCTGGATTTACAAAGATTCCCTTAAATCTTTCTCTTATCAATATATGTGGAGGATATCGTCGTTTTTCAAGCTTGAAAACTGTTTAATTCTGATAATAATTCTGTGCCTCCATAGCCCCCCTTTGCGTACGCCTCTGGTTTTAGACTGTCATATATATTCTATATATTTACTATTCACTTCACATGAGCAGGTTAGATCCCTGGAGTAAATATATAATAATATATACTATATCTTTATATTAACTATCTGATAGAAATATTAACTAACTTATTTCTACATTATCCGCCATGATTGGGATGTTTTCTACAACTAAGTTTCGGCATCACTGAATAAAATAAATAGACATTTTGCGTAATTTAACAAAGTTCTTTCTGATCATATCTCATTCTGTATGAAAAACTCCCCTGCATTGTAAACATTACACTTTATCTAGGCTTACTGCAGAACTGCCTGCGTTACGTATATTACTACAAACCCAGACTAGAGTTCTAAAAACAGCTGGGAAATATTTCGTATAACCTCACAAATATCGATCCACGTTTCTGTCCTAGCCATGGATATGGTGAAACAACAAATGCTCGGCCCAAACTAATATTTTGTATTTAAACATCTCATTTTTGTTTCTTAAAAACAAAGAAATTAAGTCTTCGCCACGAACTCAAATTTTCTAATAATATATCTTTGCAACCTGATGGTGTAAACCTTTGATATTTTAAACAGATTTAAACTAATTAAATCTGACAGAATTTATATTTTGACATAAAGGGGTTCTGAGTTTGCGGAAAAGACTGAATTCCTTTATATTTTTCATGTTAAGCATTAAATTTTATTTTTCAAAATAAACAAGTAAAATAAGCTGTTTAATGCACTAGGTATATCCTAATGATACCAATAAAATAGAGCTTTGGAAATAAAAAGTAATTATTTGTATACACTCACTCGATGTATGCCGAGTCCATTAGCGCCTGATCCAATCAGGGTTAAGTCATGTGTTTGTTGTTTATTCTGAACCAATAGAAATTGCATGGCGGTAACATTTTTCTTTCTATCTCATTATCCAATTATTGCGGCGCTATATACTAAATGTAAATATTTGCTTCTACTGAAACTATAGTGGACTGCAATGTTTATAAAAGGTAATGTCTATTATATTGCAAATATATTTTGAACCTTTTCAATGTTTGATTTTGTGACAAAGTTTAATCTCGTAAACTTTAAAGTCAGGGTTTCTTGTAGGCACAGGAAAAAGAACACAGTTTATGCAGCATAGACATAGAAAGACATTACAAGAAATCAACACTTTTTAAATTAAAAAAAAACGCCAAAATCTTTTTCATACCTTTGTGAATGCAACTTTTACAGTTCTTTAAATATAATTTCCATACCTTCTCTAAACTCACGTTATAAAAGATCTAAATAGAAAGTTTTGCATGAAAATCTGCAGTCGAAAAATACAAGGTGACTCTGTTTTCTTTGATTCAGTTTTACGAGAAATATATTTAAATTTGGACAGTATCATTGTTTATGGTAGAACAAGGTAAAAGGGAAAATATGTACTACTCATTTTTACTTACAATTCTTTCTCCAGGTATTTCCTAAACTGGGGAGGAATATTAGGAACCAGACTACACAGATAGATCCTAAACTAGGAGGAAATATTAGAAACCAACCTACACAGATAGATCCTAAACTAGGAGGATATATTATGAACCAGCCTACACAGATAGATCCTAAACTAGGAGGAAATATTAGGAACCAGCCTACACAGATAGATCCTAAACTAGGAGTAAATATAAGGAACCAGCCTACACAGATGGATCCTAAACTAGGAGGAAATATTACTAACCAACCTACACAGATAGTTCCTAAACTAGGAGGAAATATTAGGAACCAGCCTACACAGATAGATCTTAAACTAGGGAGAAATATTAGGAACCCATCTACACAGATAGATTCTAAGCTAGGAGGAAATATCAAATTCTTTAAATTCCATCTCTGGAAGACATATTTTAGAGAATTAGGCTTTCAGGGTGCTTCACGCCCATCTTCTATTTCAATATTGTATTGTGACTCAATAGGTGCACATTTTCTCTTCTTATAATATAACACAATATAAAAAAATTCCCGGATTTCATCATATTTTTAGGAAAATCAAACTTTCTTAGAGACACATTTTTTAAATTCAGAGCATCCATTAACCTTTCCTGGAGTCATGTAAGTTACGTTTATTGGATACAAAAAAACAAACACCAAAACAGACAGGCAAGCAAAGTATATATAAAGAAGGGTTGGCAACAGGGGACGTGCATTAATTTTGAATTTAAATGAATAAAGAGTGTTTCTTTAAACAATTTAAAAAACCGCACCGAAAAATAAATAATTTATAGGACCAGAGTTGGGTAAATATATTGTTCCATGGAACATAGTTATTGTTCCATGGACCAGAGTTGGGTTAATATATTGTTCCATGGAACATAGTTATTGTTCCATCGACCAGAGTTAGTTAAATTTATTGTTCCAAGGACCTAATTAAGTAAATATATTGTTCCATGGAACATAGTTAGGTAAATATATTGTTCCATGAACCAGAATTAGGTAAATATATTGTTCCATGGACCTGAGTTAGGTAAATATATTTTTCCATGAACCAGAATTAGGTAAATATATTGTTTCATGGACCAGAATTAGGTAAATATATTGTTCCATAACCAGAGTTAGGTAAATATATTGTTCCATGAACCAGAATTAGGTAAATATATTGTTGCATGGACCAGAATTAGGTAAATATATTGTTCCGTGGAACATAGTTAGGTAAATATATTGATCCATGGACAGAATGTGGTAAATATATTTTTCAATGAACCAGAATTAGGTAAATATATTGTTCCATGGACCAGAATCAGGTAAATATATTGCTCCATGAACCAGACTTAGGTAAATATATTGTCCCATGGACCAGAGTTTGGTAAATATGTTGTTTCATGGACCTGATTTGGGTAAATTTATTGTTTCATGGACCAGATTTAGATAAACATAATGTTCCATAGACCAGAATTAGGTAAATATATTGTTCCATGGACCAGAGATAGGTAAATATATATATTGTTAAATGGACCTAAGTTAAGTAAATAGGAATTTCGTTGGACCAGAGTTGGGTAAATATATTGTTCTATGGACCAGAGTTATGTAAAATTATTGTTCCATGGTCCATGGACCAATGTTTAATGTATTTAGTTTAATGGACCAGTGCAGAGAAGTTTCTTTTTCTGATACTCTATTGGCTAATTTTACAATAAAACTAAGTTTTTACATATATCTAAAGAACTATACAGTTAGACTGTAAATAGCATTTTTTATGATTATCTTAAATAATTTTAATTATGCTTCTACTGTTAGCAGAATAAAGTTTAATTAAACTTTGCGGAATTAGTTAAGAAGAAAATTTTGCCTTACAAGTTCACATTTCAACATCTTTTCTTCTTTTTTCGGACATTTTAAAATTTTTTAAAATTTTTTAAATATATTACATTATTTTTATTGGTTGTTCAATGTATGGTATGGTAAGGATGTCATAATAACTTTTAAACGTTTCAGGCTTTTTTTTAGAAAATTTGTTGGATATTTGGGACGTTAAATAATTTAAAATTAGAACCTTAAGTAAAAGATTTCCAATTTAAGAACTGTATTTATGGTTTTGTTTTATAAAAACGATTATTCTTATTTGTGGATTCTATGCCAATTAGTGCGCATTTCTCAGAAAAGTATAACAGAATAAAACACTTTTGAAGCTAGAAGAAAGTTATTATCTTCCTCATTATGACCAGGTTAATAAAGGGTGCTGATGTAGATCGGGCTTACCCCAATTTTTTTTCAGTGAAGACTCACTTCAAATTACAATGATGCAGTTTCTTTAAATACATTTTATTCTAATGCTTTATTCCAGGTTTAGGATTACATATGTTTCCGTTCAACCCTTTCTCTTCCTACTAATCTTCCTTCATCATTTGAGGGACCGCATGGAAGAATCAGATATTATCTTCAGGTACTCCATTTTCTAGTCCTCCAGCAATTTAGTAACAAGGCTTCCATAGCGCTTAGCGCCCAACTTCAATTTTCACTTTACATTGTTGCTCTTTAATTTAATTTTTATTTTGTTGTGGATTTTGAACACTAGAAATCTTTATCAGGCAATTTTTTAAATTCTGTTTATCTACTTACCTTCTCATGGGTAAAAGTGGGTCGGATTGGTTCAGCTGTTTTGACGTTTATTGGATAAAAACAAATAAACACCCAAACAAACAGACAGACAGACACGCTAAATTTATATATAGATTTAACCTGAACCCTGGTCCTTGTGTTTTATAATATAATTTAACCTAAACCCCAGTCCTTGTGTTTCATAATATTATTTAACCTAAACCCTGGTCCTTGTGTTTTATAATATTATTTAACCTAAACCCTGGTCCTTGTGTTTTATAATATTATTTAACCAAAACCCAGGCCCTTGGGTTTTATAACATTATTTAACCTAAACCCTGGTCCTTGTATTTTCTAATATAATATTATTTAACCTAAACCCTGGTCCTTGTGTTTTATAATATTATTTAACCTAAACCTTCCATTTGATTCATTTAACCTAAATTTTTACTTTAAAACTTCTGCACTTACGTTCTAAAATCCTTGAATAGATGAAATGTAAGGAGAGTGTATGGGTTAAAGAATTAAAGTGTTAATAAAGTTTATTACTATATAACAAATATATGTTTAACTGAAATTACAACGGATTAAAATAACCCCCCATCCTCCCTCCTTCGAGTATATGTGTTGACAAAACAATTTTACTTTGTGTTTGATGCAACCTCTTATTCAGCAGGGAACTGCATTCGATCAAAGCCTGCAATCTCAAATTTAATTCAAATCAGGAAAAAGTTGGAAAATAAGAACTAGGGTTCCCGGACCTAGGTTCTTTAAGAACTAGGGTTCCCGGACCAAGGTTATTTAAGAACTAGGGTTCCCGGACCAAGGTTCTTTAAGAACTAGGGTTCCCGGACCAAGGTTCTTTAAGAA